TGCTAAAAACTGTTAGATTACATTTATTCACCAAGGCCTATTACCTTATTTGGCCAATTCCTCCTCCTGAGACTGACTACCAAGGTCCAACTATCAAAATATTGAAGTCTGTCAATCAAAAGCCCCCTTTGGCTGCCCTAATCAACACGCCCAGTTAAACACCTCATCCTAACACGGGGTTTCTCTCTGTACCATTATTAACTGCCATTTTCCTACGTGCCACGTCTGTCCCCTCTCTATTCTCCGAGACAAATTCTCCAGCCCACTTTCCCTTGTTTCCTTCTCCCTTTCCCTGTCCCTATCTCCTGTCTTTGTCTCTCATTCCCTGCTCTCTGCCCTCCCTTTGTTCTGAGAACTTGGTCTTGGGAGTCCTGAGTTGATACTTTTCCTTTCACTTCTGGCCTGCCTCCTGTTTCTGGTGTGGCTGTAGTCTGTAGCAGCTCAACCCTTCCCTCAGCACCAGGGCTCTCTGCAGGGTTGGCTGGGGCCTTTCACAGTCTAGTCTCAGAGAATAAGAGCCAAAGCGAGGCAATGGTCCCCTCTCCTGTCAATACACAATCCTTCCATCTTCCCCTTTCCTGCCTAAGGACTGTCCTCATCACTCCAGGAAAGAATTCCATCTCTTAAGTGTGGCCTCCCCCAAGGTCCCAGCAGAAACCAGTCTCATCATTCAGGCTGATTGGACTTGAGGTCTTGTTCTCATTCAGCCAATCCCTTCCCCCTCCCATCATGCCTTGAGTGCTCTCCCTACAGCCCAAGTCCCCAATTCACCCTGCAGTGCTGTCTTTATCTAAGCATTCCCCATTCAAACAAATATTTATTGACTAGCTTCGATATGCCAGAATCACATTGTGGGAAGACAAAATAGAATCAGGCTCAATAAAACCCTGCTCTCTAAGAGCAGAAATGTCAGAGGTGAGGTCATAATAAAAAGTATCCCTAGAGACTTTTTCAAGGCACTGTTTCTCCACCATGCTGCCCAATAGGACTCCTCAGAGGGCATTCAGATGTCTTGATGCCCCATCACACCCAAAGCCCATCACAACAGGGCTTCTGTGGGTGGGGAGATCCAGACATCAGCATCTTATAAAGCTTTCATGTGAGTTCAATGCAGCCCACTCTAAGAACCATGAGTGGTTGAACCCTCAGATGCAGAACCTATAGGCATGAGAGGCTTCCTGAATTCACAGAGATCAGTAATCTCTTCCTAAAATGGGAACAATTCATTAAACTTACCACTGGACCTAGTGGAATCTTCTGCAAGCCCAGCCTACTAGGTTTCCAAGAAGAATGCAGCTGTGAGGCTGGGATGTTTTAGAAAACTGGAAGAAGAAGTTTGTAAGGTGTCTACTGTGGCTTGGATGAGAAATGTCTACCATAGTCCTGGCTGTTTGAACACCTGGCCCCCAGGTGGTGGCACTATTTGAAGAGGTTATAGGGAGGTGGGGTCTTGCTGGAGGAAGTACATCTCTGGGGGCAGACTTTGAGCATTAAAAGACCCACCACCTCCAGCTCACTCCTCTGCTTCATGCTTGCATTTGAAGATGTGATCTCTTGACTTCCTGACACTGTGTCTACTGCTTGTTGCCATGCCCACACCACGATGAACTCTTATCCCTCTGGGACCACAAACTAAAACAAACTGCTTTCCCTGTGAAGTGCCTTGGTCATGGTGTTGTATCACAGCAACAGAGAAGTAATAAAGTGTCCAAGTAGGTGGTGCCTGCCCTGCTGAAAGCCAGGTTATTTCTAAGACAACTCTGGACTTATTTTTCAGGTGACATGACAGGACTGTCAAAACCTTCACATGCAATACAAAGCCCATGAGAAAGTTCCCCAGAGATAACAAGGACATCCTTGACAGGTTAGATCCTTTCTGCAACCAACTTGTTTGGTTTAGACAGCTGAGGTAGTAGAGTGAATGTGTGGAGACCACTGTTCCTTACAAGTCCCTTGGTCAGTCTTTTTCTCATTTAATCTTCCAGCTGCCTCCTAACAGAAGTCATGCTAATGTTCTGATTGTTCACCCAGAACTGAGACTCTTATGTAAGGTGACTCCCCAGGGCTAATAAGTTGGCAAATGGCAGGAGGTATTATGAAAGACAGCCATTTGAATGCATTTATTTCTAATTCCACATTCCCTGATATCACTCACATCAGTATCTTAATATTAACACCACAGGACTATTTACACCAAAGGCATGGGTAAGTGCTGCACATCAGGCCTTTTTTATGCCCCTCCACCAGCCCAGAGATTGAGTTGTCAAACAATGTATAAAACAATCTGCTAAAATAGAATTTTCAATAAAGAATGAACTATTCCCTACGGTAAGTAAATGGGATATATCTAAAATTAAATTTTAATGGGTGTCCTGGATTTTTATTGTCAAACACAACAACTGCATTAGAGAGCTATTGCTAACACATGTAGGCTCCTTCTCATCATTCTGTTATACATCTTCATTATGAACATTTGACTAATGCATTATTAGGGTTTAATACCAGACATCTAGTAACATACTTAGGAAGCTTGTAGATTCTTAAAATGTTCATTTGTTAACTGTGATGGTTAGTGGTCATTGTTAGCTTGACAGAACCAGGAATTACCTGGGATATGGGCCTTGGGGTATGCTGGGTATGTCTTGAGGTAGGAAGACCTACTCCATCAAAACAGTCTGGAAATGGAGTCGAGTGAGAATTCTGTGGGCTTTTGAGAACTCTCAAGAAAACAGGACAAAAGTCTTGTGATCTCATTTCCTTCAAAACACCGAATTGTTCTTGAAATGTGTTTTCGTGCTCCCGCTAGATGTAGTGGACAAGAGTGAGTTTACTTCAGATTACTGATTACCCCTTGCTGCCGTTATTCAATTAAATGTTTAAACTGTCCTTTGTGTACTCGTGGAAAAACATGTTTTTGCCACACACAGTTTATCTTTGTTATTGTACACAGCTTGAACTCAAGTGAACTTTATTCCTATGAACTCTCTGAACTCTCAGAATGTAAATTGTCTGCCGGTCTGAATAAAGTTGGCTATTGTATGAGACTTTGGTCTGCCTCATTTATCAGCTCCAGTCTCCCAGATGCCATCTCCTCTGGAGCAGTGACACCACCCACTAAGAGTGTCAACATCTCCATTGAACCCATTAGGGGAAGGCTAGTGACAATTCCTATGTAGAATCTGATTTGTGTCATATGCTTCAGTGTCAGAGAGGGGCCTCCATACTTGGGGAACCTGTTGCTTTGCCTTGGAGACAGCAAGTAGGCCTTGGGATTCATCTTTCAATGGTTGGAATATGAACCCCCCCCCATAGTCTCATGTGTTTAAACCCTGGGCTCCAGGTCATGGCAATATTTTAGGAGGATGTACAAACTTTGGGACTGTGGCCTAGCTAAAAGAAGTGGGTTTCCCCCACAGAAACAGTTGACCTGAACAAGGGGGAGCTCTTGGACCCCAGATTGATAGCTGTGTGGAAAGCATGGGGCTGATCCAGACCCCCTGAATGTAGGTGTCAGTGAGGAGGCCTAGGTAATCTATGCTGCCTTGGGTAGTATTTATCCCTGGCATACAAATGAACTTTGGGTGCCCATCCCACAGTGAGGGATGTTCTCCCAACCTGGACTCTTGGGGGAAGGCCTAGACCCTGCCCTGGATGAAATGACAGACTCTGAAGATCCTCCATGGAGGGCCTCACCCTCCCTGGAGATCGGAGTGGAGATTGGGTGGGGGACTGGAGGACCTGGTGGGGGGCGGGGGAGGAGGGAAGGGAGAGGGAGCTGGGATTGACATGTGAAGCAAGCTTGCTTCTAACTTAAATTTTAAAAAGGAAGAAAAAAAGTGGGTTTCTGGGGGTGAGGCTTGAAGGTGATATCTACCCTGGTTTTTTAGCCTTAGGCCTCTGCTTTCTGATCTGAGAAACTGCATCAACAATGAGCTACCACCATCCTGGATTAAACCACTCCACCATGCCTTTCCCACCACGGTGAAACTATAAACCAGGGTAAGTCCCTCTTCCTTCAAGTTTCTTCTGTGCATGCTCCATTGCAGTAATGAGAAGAGTAATTAATGTAAGCTATAAGATCCGACCAGAGGGAGCCAGAGCCTGTGATGGTGGCTGCAGAGACAACTATGGATACAGAGAACGGAGTCCTTTGACTTGCTCATAAACATACACACACTTCTTAACAGCCATGACAAAAATAGTTTAGAAATATTAAAAGGAATGGAAAATCCAGTTTGTAATTATAATACTGATGATTATCCTAGAGTTATTTACGTGTGTGAGTGTGAGTATCATTCCTACTTTGGATAGGTGACAATTTCTTATATAATGTAAGGAAAGCATTAACCATAAGGGAAATAACAATAATTAAAGCGCATCTGGCACAAACATAGGAACTTCCATTCACCAAAAGACACCTTTAAGAAAGTGAAAAGGTAGGACTGGATAGTTCAGTGGCTAAGAGCACTTGCTGCCCTTACAGAAGAGAACCGAGGTTCTGTTTCCTGCACCCACATAACAAGTCACAACCATCTGTAACTCCATTTCCGGGTATCTGATGCCCTCCTCTGGCTTCTGCAGGCATTGCATGCATGTGACACCGATGTAAATAGATAAAATAAATAGAAAGGTATATAAAATACTGTGTAAAAGTTTAATAGAAAGGTGTACGAGTAAATATTTGTAATTTATTTGACCAAAATATGTAAAGAAAACCTATTATTATTAAGAAAAAACTTCAAAAATATCACTTCCAAAACCATCTTAAATAGATATTGATGTAAAGTCTTTTTCTTCATCCCATAAGAACCGAGCAGTTGCACTGCCTCCCAGTCACACTCTGCCCAGTCTCTTCCTGAGCTCCAGCCTGACACAGAACAGGAGTGTTTTACCCCAAGGGTCATTTAACAGACTTCACAATAAGGCTTTAGCTAAGCCAGTTATGACATGGTAAGTGCTTTTGACTGTCCCTTGGGCTCCCATTAAGCTGTCTAGGACACAAACTCCAGGCAGTAACACCTCCTGTCCTAACCTATTGCCAGAGTATGATAAAAGAGTGGGAAAATCGCTTTCAGAGGTTTAGAAGCCAGAGATCTGGACATCTGAAGGCCCAAGAAGAGACCACTGCTGAGGGAGAACAAGATAACAGAAAGCCATCCAAGATCCCCAGTGTCCGCCATCCCTCGATAGCTCAAGATTTCCCGTACCGCAAAGAGGACCTCTGCACTGCAACACCTCTGGGGTGAGTATGGCTTGGGTATCCAGCCCTTTCCTAGGTGGCCTCAGCCTAGCTAATTTAGACCCTCCACCTGCCAGTTTCTCACCACAAGAAGAAACCAGAAAGACCCTTCCCAGAGCTCTAACTCATTGTCCCTCTGCTTTCCAGGATATGGACAGCATTCTACAAATCAGACCCACGCATTGCCCTTGGAAAATACTCCCCAATGGAACAAGAGATCCTAGTAAGTATTCCCCAAGTTTTCATGGACAGAGTCCCTGTGGAATCTGCTTGCAGAGGAACGGGAAATCCCACGGTTCAAAATCCACCAATTACAGACAATGAAAGTGGGGGGATGAGAGTGTTTCCAGTCATGCTGGCTGTGTCTACTGGTGGATTTCACTCTCTGAGCATCCCTACCAGGAGTACAGCCATAAGAGGGGCTGGAAAATGGCTCAAGGGTGAGTACTTTCGCTGTGCAAGCACGAAGAGCTGAGCTGAATCCTTAGCACCTATATAAAAATGCCAAGCATGGCTGTGTGTGCTGTAACCCCAGCAGTGGGGAGCACAAGCAGGTGATCCCTGGGGGATTGCTGGTCTACCTAAACAAAATGGCAAGCTTCTAGGTCTCTGAGAGACGTAGTCTCAAATGAGGAAAGTGATAGGGGGAGGCATCTAATGTCTTCTTCTGGTTCTGCGTGCATATGCACAGGACATGCACCCCTCCCCATACGCCACCGACACACACACCAAACAGAAAAACACAAATAAATATAAGTGTGATAATAAATTATGAAACTACCATTTCATAAGTATTTACCTGGCACTGTGTTGTGCCTTGAGTGTGACACGTCCCCCATAGATTCGTGTGCTTTAATACTTGGTCTTTCAATACCACACAAGACATACACAATTGGTATGCATCAGCGTTTAATCATGGTGCAGGGGTCTCTGAAGGCCTCACCCCTCCCTAAGCAGTTCATGGTGGGGGTGGGGGTGGGGGCAGAGCAGTCATTTTCTTCAGTGATGTAACCACTGATAAGTTGTCTGTCCTCCAGGAAAAAACAAACAAAACAAAAAACAAAAAAACCTTCTACCAATGCTCATGTAAACAACATGCATTGAAGGTGGTGGGTCACAAAACAAAAAGAAAAATAAAAAAAGACAAGACATGGAAAGAGGACTTGTGAGGAAGGAGACGTTCAGTGGGATTGAGAGGGGGATGAGAGCAAGTAACAGGTGAGAATGTCCATTATATGCACGCATGAAACTGTCGAAAATAAACGTGAGGAGCGGGAAAGATTGTCTGAACTGCTCTTTCAGAGTTCAGTTCCCAGCACCCAAGTCAGGCAACTCACAGCTGCGCATAACTGTAGGACTGTAGTTCCAGGGTGTCCAGCACGCTCTTCTAGCCTTCACAGTCACCAGCACACACACACACACACACACACACACACACACACACACACACTCAAACAAAATGAATCTTTTTAAAAACCAGTTGAAAAAGAAAAATGAAAAAAGGATAAGCTGCAAATATAAATGATAAAAATGCTAAAGCAATCCAGGTCCTCAGCTCCTTTGGGCACTGTGTTGCACTTAGAGTGGGAAGTGTCCGCCACCAGCTCATGTCTGTAAACATATGGCACCCAGTTAGTGGCACTGTTTTTGGGAGGTTCTGGAACTTTTGGGAGTTGAGGTCTAGTTGAGGAATTACGGGGTCACTAAGACGGTGGGCCTTCTGGTTTTTGCCTGGCCTTGGTTCTTCTGAAATGTAGGCAAGCTGTTCCATGCTCTCACCACCATGGAGCCCCTGCTACCATGCCTTTCCGACCATGGTGAATTGTGTCCCTTAAACTCTGAGCCGGAATTGATGCTTCTCCCTTAAGTTCCTTCTGGCCAGGTATTTAGTCACAGTGATAAGCCACAGGTATTTAGTCACAGTGATAATAACACACACACACACACACACACACACACACACACACACACACTAGTTACTCTCACAAACATTATCTTTTGAGACTTCACAATAACCTTTGCAAGGTCAATATAATGATTCTAAATTCATAGTAGATAGAAGGAGAGCAAGGCTTTGCGCCCAGGTGCATTTGATTCCCAAGGTCTACCAGCCACTCGTTAATTCTTTCCACTGGGGATGCCTGCCCCCAACGCACTGAGATTTTTAACCGTCTTTTTTCCATTCTTAGCATCTTGGTGGTGTTCACACCATAGCAGCAAGAAGATTTTTGGCTGACAAACACAAGAAAGAATGGAAGATGCTGAGGGAACTGCAGGCACAGTCATCAGACTACAAAAAGGCAACGAATTTTAGAACAGAGTCCTCTTCTTGTTCTGTGTGTGGACCCCCAGAAAAAATATGGACAGCCAAGGTGGTTGTCCCGGCGGAGGAGTTTAAAATGCCCTGCCGAGAGATCATCGACATCAACAAACATTTAAAAAGGATGCAGCAGGCACGAGCCCTAAGAAATAAGCAGTTTTCGCCCTACATTGAAAGGCTCCGGAGTGCCACGCTGCTGTCTGGAGCAGAGCTGAGTTCCACAGGGACAGACAAGTCCAGTGAAGAGAATGCTGTCAGGGATAGCTGTGATAAAGCCACCCAGCAGGAGAAGGGGGAGGCAGAGTTCAAGCCCACAGAAAGACGAGAGATTTCGATGAACGTGACTTTCAAGTCAGAAGAAGGCAAAGGGTGTTTGATATGCCATCGGAATGATCGGAAACCTTTCCTCCCCCCGAAGAAGAGACAGGAGCGGTGCATCACAGGCCTGACGAACAGAAACCTCTTCCCCATCTCTGGCTTTCCTGGAGACCTGATGCTCATGCGCCAGGATTTCATATCACGGGGGATCCACCCGAGTGACGCCATTAATATCTACTGGCTGCCAGAAAAAGAAACCAGCAAAGCACAGAAGCACAAGGCCGCTCACTGCCTGTATTGAAGCTCTAGTCCCGAGTACAAGCAAGTGTCCTGCTCTTCGTGTCTCCTGCACACCTTGTCCTAGGGTCCTTCCTCTCTGCTCCTCTTTTGAGCTCCTTGGCTTCTCCTGCTCTGTCTCCACGGTGTCTCCAAGATGAGACCCTGTTGCTGAGGCTTATTTCCAGCGAACTCGAGTCTAGCTCCCACCTCACCACAATCATAAGCTCTAAATTATAGGCTTGCCCCCACTGGCCAGGCTGTTTTCTTGATTCTGGGTATTCACTGTAAAACTGAAGTTGCCAGTCAAACACTGAGTCCTGGCACTAGGAAGCAATCCAACTGTGACAGGAAATGGATTCTCTGCCTCCTCCAAAGTATCTCCTGGCTCAACCTGAGCCTTGGGCATGGATAGCAACTTCAGCTTCAGTGGGGGCAGCATCTAGAGCAAATGAAGGGGTTTCCCTCCAATGACAAAGCTCTCGTGTTTCCTGCATGTCTATGTATCATAATTGTGCCTGGTGCCCATGGAGGCCAAAAGAGAGGGTTGGATTCCCTGGCATTAGACTTACAGATGGTTGTGGGCCACCAAGTATGCGCTGGGAATCAAATCCAGGTCTTCTGGAAGAACATCCAGAGCTCTAAACTGCTGAGGCATCATTTCAGTCCCTAACTTTTTGATACAGGATCTCACTAAGTTGGCCACACTGAACTAACTGCCTTGCCTTTCCAAGTAGCTCAGATTTTTAACTTATGCCTCCAGACTTAGCTGGAAAATAAAAGAAATTCAACACCCCCCAAAGTACATTCATATTTGCACACATTCACATGCACACACACATTCACATGTATACACACATTCACATGTATACAGATTCACATATACACATTCACATGTACACACACATTCACATGTATGCACACACAGTTACATTTATTCACATATTCACATGTATACAGATTCACATGTACACATTCACATGTATACAGATTCACATATACACATTTATATGTACACACACATTCACATGTATGCACACACATTTACATGTATGCACATACTCATGTATGCAGATTCACATGTACACATTCACATGTACACACATATGCACATACATATTCACATGTACATAAACATTCACATGTACACACACTCACATGTGCACACATATTCACATATACACAATGTTTACATGTACACACATTCACATGTATACACACACAGTGACAAACATTCTCCTCTTTGTCCCCTCCTTCTCCCACACTAAGGAAGACGTGAGACATTTTCATTTGGAGGAGAGTCTTGAGGAGTAGAGAGAGTTCAGGAATGGCACACTACCTACCCTCATCAGCAATACCCAAACGAGGGCAACAGACTCATCCTGAGCAGGCCTGTCTCCACTGAGGCAGCAGGGAGAACTCAGCCTAGTGGCTTGGAGCTATGTGTGAGACACTGCTGAAGTCTATCTCCTCACCTGGAGTGACACTGGCCGAGGTGAAGCTTCTCGGGGTACTACCAGGTCCCCTAGGTCCAGAAAAGGATGGTAAAGTGGATAGAGACAAGTTCCCATTTACCTTTTTCAGAAAGCTCTGGGAAACAGTGGTGAGACTCTCAAAGGAAGAATAATTAGTTGACCATGGTCCAACATGACTTCCTGCTTGAGGAGGTCTCCAACCCCCTCTAATTTATGGGCTGAGAACCTGGGAGGTGAGGCACTCTAGGAATCTGGAGACAGATGAGGAACTGAGACTAAAAGCAATTGCAATGGCAGCTCCCACTCCCCTGACTGACTTTCACAAGAACCCTTTGGGTGTCATTCTCAGTACAGAAACAAGTCCAAGTGTGACAGCAGAAATCTAGGAGCTGACCCCTTGGGAGTGGGTTTGTCAAAATGGATAGATATGTATCTCCATTTATTACATATCACACTAGGATCCTCATGGTTCATTCCCAGGGTAGTGTCAACAGATATGACATCTATGATAGAAACCCTTGTGGAACAGTCCAACAATGCAATGCTCAAAAGAGTTATACATAGCACTCTTTCACTGGTACACACCCAGTATAATCCAGAACATGTGTATATACACAAGCTTGTACATGAGTATTCATAGCGATTTCTTTGCAGCAGCCTCAAATTGAAAAGAACCAAAATGCCCCTCTGATGATGGATGGTAAAAGTGGTAACATTCATGTAATAAAATATTTTCAGGTGTGTGAATATTGGGTGGGACCTGATCAAGATCTGATCATGAATATAGAAATATCATGCTAAGTGAATGAAGCCAGTCTTGAAAGATCACACACTTTCTGCTTCTACTACGTGCAATGCCCATAAGAGCTAAATTCAGAGCCAGAAATGAGGTTTGTAATTACTGAAGTTTGAAGTGAAGCCAGGAGGCAAACGAGGAGTGAATTGTGATGTGTTTGGTATTTCTTTTGGAAGTGATGAAGGCTGACTGTGGCTGACTGTGATGATACTGGACTGTTCTGCCAACAGTCTAAAGATTCCTGGGTTATAAGTGTTAAGTGAGTGGATTGCATGGTATGTTAATTATATATCAATAAAACTAGCATATAAGATACTGGACATTAATGACATGGTTAAATTACTAAAACAATGGGGACAGAAGGAAAAGGCTGCACATGTAATAAAAAAAAAAACTGGATCCTTCCATCTGTGATTCTCTAGCAACTGGCCTGAGCTCTGCTGAAGATGTAGGAGAGGAAGAAGGACCCAAGACCCAAGTGGGTGAACTCTCTTCTCCTCTCCCAGTGGTAGATGAGCCCCACAACAGAGCATTGCTAGATCTTAGGCTTCCCACCACGTCTACCCTCTGCTTCCCTGGTGTTATTTCCTTTAGGGCAGGGTGTTGAAGTTCACATCTAACAACGATAGGTCCTATCCAGGAATGGATGCAGTGCTTTGCCATTCTGGCCTCAGAACAGAGCAGGCTGGGCCCATAGCAAGACCACTGCTGTCTCCAAGCAAGACCAGGAAGAGCTCACTGTGTAAAGCTTATCCCTGGGAAAAATACTGAGGAATCTGCCTAGCCGTCCAGATATGAGCTCCAGGTGTCTTACCCAATAAGACCTAAACAACCAGGACACTGCAACACTGAATATCACTGTGACTGCAGAAATTCCCCATAACGGCATCATCTCAGAATACCTCTGCACAATCTACTGCCCGCTGCAGCTGTACCACTGAGTAACCTTACTTCTCCCCTATTCGTCTTGATGCTCTCTTTCACAGCCCATGAATCACTAGTGTGTCGCCACCATCTCCCTGTGTGGCAACAATGTCTGGAGATAATTTTCATGGTCACAACTTAGGGATGAAAGTGGGGAATGTGGCTGGTATCCTGTAGGAAGAGGCTGGAGACACTTCTAAACAAGGCATTCTACAATGAACAGGGAATTAAACAGGTCAACAATGTCATGTGCCCAGGGTTGAGAAACAGTGCTTTAGGGAAAAGGGACATTGGTAAGTCAGAGCAAACATTGTGTTTTGCTACATGATAATAGTTGTGTAAGGCTATCGCCAACATGCATAACCAAGAGAATACAAGCTTCCATCTCCTGAAACCTAACTAGATTTTACCAAGAATTTTAAAGACTGCTTAAATATGCAGGAAATAACAGCTAGGTTTTTGTAAGGTGTACTTCCTCAATTCCCAATGGGATTGGCATCTTTTCAATGTCTCTACTGATGCAGATTTTTGTGAAACATCCTTCCCGTTTCCTGGCTAATTTCCTCTCACATTGATTTGGCTTCTTGTGGAGTAGAGAGGCCATCAGTGTCTTTTCCAGCTTTCTTTATACTGGACGTTAAGGAATTCCCAGTGTGGGAGGGTCACGCTCCATTAGAACAGGACAGATCTGCTGAGCTCTGAGCTGTCTGGTCACTCAGGCAGTTCTCACTGAGGAAGGGGTGGGAAACAAGGTTGGAACACTGTTGTCTGTTCAGTATTCAACAGAGATCCTACTGTGATCCAGCCTCTGGGGCATTAGCAATGTAAATCCCAGGCTTTCACACAGCCCCTCTTCCTCCTCCATCTCCCCCACTACTCTCCATGCCGAGATGTGGAGATGTGACAAGAACAAAGGTTTCACATGTGTGCCCACGTATTCTGGAAGCCTTCCTCCTGTGTCCCAGCCCACGGGCCTTACGTACACTCCACATGTCAGGTCCGATGCCCCTTTCTGCAGCACCATACCAGCACGGCCCATACCAGGCTTTTTCTTTCAGGCCACCAACCTGTTGAGTTTTGAATGCTCAACCTAGCTTGTTTCTGTCTAGCTCTTATAAATTAACCTGCTTCTCTTTATCTGCCTTTTGCCTCAGGGCTTTTTACTTTTCTTTCTTTCTGTATTTTGTGTTTCCACCGTTTCTTGTGTCTGACTGTCTGGCTGACTGGCAGGCAGGCAGCTTGCCTGGCTTCTTGCCCCTGACATGTCCCTCATTCTCTCCTCTCTCCTTCTCTCATTCCTCTCTTTCTAGATTTCTCCTCCTACTTATTCTCTCTGCATGGCAGCCCCTCCTATTTCTCTCCTGCCTAGCTGTTGGCCGTGCAGCTGCTTATTAGACCACTCAGGTGCCTTAGGCAAGGTGAAACCTTCATGTAATTAAATAAATGCAGGATAAACAAAAGTATCACATCTTTGCACAGCCAGAGCAATATTCCACAGCATAAGCCAATATAACACATCTTTGCCTACTTAAAATTAATATTCAATAACACATAGCAATGGCAGCCTGAAGAGACAAAAAGGGCTATGTTCTTCCAGCGACACCCAGAAATTGAAGTTTTGGTACCACAGTGTCCTCTTGGCAGAAACATCTGGATTAGCCTCAGTTTCTGAGGATTTTGTGACTCGGATCTTTATCCTGGCCACACTGTTTCTAAAACTATCCTTAGTGGGCCTCACTCGTCTCTCCTGTGGGTCTTTCCTCTGCTTCCCTATAAAACTTGAGACACCTCTCTGTCCACACCTGCTGACAGCATCCATCCCCACCTAGTCTCCGTGCTGAGCCAAGGCTGCCCTTACTTCCCTCCCCAGGGCCTCACTGTCACTCCCCAAAGATGAATGAAGGGCTGAAGGGTGTGCTACAAGCAGCCTCCTCTACAGGGTTCCCCTCTGTCTTAATAGACACTTTTGTCCAGCTATCCAGTCCTATCCCGCTAACCAGTGTGCTCAAGAGGAAGCTGAGTCCAAATCCTGCTTGGAAACTAGCCCAAAAGCAATGAAGACAAGGTATAAATGATGGCCAGGAGTCCCACCATCAACATCGAGAACTGGGACAGACATGAATGTGATAAACACTGCAACAACAAATCAAAGTGAAGTGTGACACAGAGAGAGATGAGAACAACTGCCTATGGGGCAGGGGGCGGGGGCGGGGTTCTTAGAGCAGGCAGAGCAAGGCCAAGGCATGGAGCAACTCCAGGGCATCTAACTGCTGTCAGTCTGTGCATGTCATTGCAGAAGCTGATCCCAGCACTCCTTTACAGCCATTGGAGACTGACTTTCTGAAACCTGCCGCTATAAAGGGTCTATTAAATACATAACGTGCCTGCCCCTTAGAGAATCAGAAGAACACAGTATGTTGCCAGCTGGCACCCCCAGGTTGAGAATACTTTCTCAGTTTGTTCACTCTTGGAGATGCTAAATAGCTTGGACAAATGGTCGCTAAGCACCTTCCAGGTCTCTCTGACAAGATATAGTAGATAGATGATCTATAGATGGATAGATAGATAGATAGATAGATAGATAGATAGATAGATAGATGACAAATAGATAGATAGATAGATAGATAGATAGATAGATAGATAGATAGATAGATAGATCATGTGGTGTGGGAGAGGGGACTGGATATTAATACTTTTCTCTGAAGCAGTCATAGCTGCCAAAACTCTCATCCAAAAAGGTAACAAGAATAATCAGAGGGAAGCATGAAAAACGTGCCCATCCTGAAGATTTACATGAAATTATTCCTAATGTCTTCCCAGACTTTGAACTCTACCACTTCAGCTTTCAAAAATCCAATCAACCATGGGAAACCAAGACACAGCTCAAATAAATGAACCATGTTTTAGCAGCCATACCAACAACTCCATTCTCCATTGCAAAAATAACCACAATGTTATTATGAGTAATTATTGCTAATCTTTGATACAAACTCACAAATGCAAGCAATGTTGACCCAGAAGTCCTAAAGACTTCATTCTCAGAGGAAATATCCATATTCCTACATAGATTCATCAGTGCCCTGGTTGCACTTCTAATTCCCTCCAGAAATCTCCAGTAATTACAACAGGAAGAGCACATGATGTAACACACATGTATAAACCCAAATGCATCCCTGTATGTTCCCTTCACTTCAAATAAGCCTGTTACTTACCATTTGGTAAACCTTCTTCCTGGTGAGGGGCACAGCTTTTAGCTTTTAAATCAGCTATTACCGTGAAAGCCTTTTCCGTCGCAGTTTCTAACAATCCAACTCACCACCTATTAGGGGTTGTTTCAGTTATTTTTGATATTCTGTGGAGAGTGTGAGGTACCCTTTCCTGCTTAGAGGGGAAATTTCTCCTCTTTGAACCTGAAATGCTTTCAAAGAGGAGAGATATTGCCTTTCAAGAGTTATAAAGCTGTCCTCTCCTTAAGAGCCGTTATGGTATCCAGAGGCTCCTAATGCAGAGAAAAGCATTAGCCACTTACATTTCCGCCTAATGAGTACTTCGCTCATAGCTAGCCAAAGGTAAATGTCACAAACTTAGGAATTACTCCTCTTTGAAAAAAAATTCAATCTGATCTCCATGCTGTTCTTCCTATCTCCACAGATCCTGCACAACCCACGTGTAGGATATGCATATCTCTTAGTGCTGTTCTTAAGGTTAACCAAATTGCACTTATATTTCTGCTGAAGAATTGACCACTTAAGAATAGCAGACAATTACAAGCAAGATAGTAAAACAGGACATTTCTAGCTCTTATTTCCTTCCACAGAAGCAATCTGGTAACTATTAAGAACTGAGTCTGAAGTGTTCCCCTCAGACTCATGTGATTGGTAGTATTATAGAACCAGGCTGAAGGGAGTGGTCACTAGGGCGTGTCCTGTGTCCTTAGTTACTGTACTATTGCTGTGATGAAAGACCATGACCAAAAGCAAGTTGAGGAGGAGAGGGTTTATTTGGCTTACACTTCCACATCGCTGTTCATCATCCAAGGAAGCCAGGACAGAAACTCAAACAGGGCAGGAACCTGGGGGCAGAAATTGATGCAGAGGCCATGGAGGAGAGCTGCTGACTGGCTTGTTCCTTGTAGCTTGCCCAGGGCTGGCACCACCCATAATGGGTTTGACCCTCTCCAACCAATCACTAATTATGAAAATGCCCCAAAGGCTTGCTTACAGCCAGATCTTTGGGGGATATTTTCTCAGTTGAGGCTCCCTCCTCTCAGAAAACTAGCCACACCCTTGAAGGTCATGGCTGAGTCTATTTCTGGGCTTGTTCCTTGCTTCCGGGTATGGGGGCCACCACTGCACACTGCTCCGTTCCATTGCTTCCGGGTATGGGGGCCGCCACTGCACACTGCTCCATTCCATTGCTTCCGGGTATGGGGGCCACCACTGCACACTGCTCCGTTCCATTTCTGCTACTGGGTCTTTCCATCAGAGTGAGCCGGAACCCCAGAGGCAGTGAACAAAACAAGCTCCCTGCCCCTTCAGCGTGTGTCATAGGGACAAGACCAGTAATTGACAGGCCTTGGCTTTGAGGTTCCAGGGACACTGAGGAGGACTGTTCTTTGAGTAAGAGATTCTTTTGAATAATTATTAACACCATGGGATTACAAAGAGACAGACAATAAGTCAGGGGATCTTTAAAAAAAAGAGTATTTTGTTTTGCTTCTCTGTTGCTGTGATAAACACCATGATCAAAAGCAATTTGGGGAGGACAGGGTTTATTAGGCTCACAGTCTAGAGTCTGCCATCTAGGATAACTGAGGCAGGATCCTAGAGGCAAAAACCAAAGCAGAGGCTGTGGAGGAAAACTACTGATTGGCTTGTTCCCCATGGCTTGCTTAGCCTGCTTTCTTATGTAGGCCAGCGTGGCACCACCCACAGTAGTCTGGGTCCCTCCTATATCAATCATTAATAAAGAAAATGCCCCAATGCCAGTTCTCAATTAAGGTTCCCTCTTCTCAGATGACCCGGGTTTGTGTCCAGTTGACATTCTTATGGGTGTCAGAGGAAGGAAGAGGTTTTCATACTGGTGGTCGGTGAGGAGGCCACAGCCGGGGTCCCAGTCTGGCTGTCCTTGATTTCCGATGGCAAGGAGAGGGGAGAGAATTCTTGGAAGGACTGCGACTCTGAGGGTACGGAAGAGGGGCACACTAAGTTAAGGTGTACACATTATACCAATGGGGGATGTGCTGGAACTGGTTGTCCCCTGATGCCCTGGAGTCTGGCAACTTGAGATCTGCAAACTTTCTTGGGGAAGTAAGAGTGACCTGGGCCATTATCCTGGAGTCTGTGAATCTGGGGAGGCTGGGATGGATCAATCTAGGGTCTAGACCTTCACAGACAGGCTCGGCTAATGAGAGAAAGAGGTATGCATGGCAGCTGCCTCTAAACACAGCACTTGAAAAGGTAAAGACAGTGCAAGCTGGGGTGCCAGTCTAGCAGAAGTGGTGAGCTCTAGGTTCAGTGCGAGGACATACCTACCTCAATAAAGTGAGGAGCTATCAAGGAACACACCCAATGTCAACTTTGCACTCTCTCTCTCTCTCTCTCTCTCTCTCTCTCTCTCTCTCTCTCTCTCTCTCTCTCTCTCTCTCTCACACACACACACACACACACACACACACTGGAGAGGGGGGGGCATACCCATATGCACACCATTCCTGCAGGAAGGAAGGAGGGAGAGAAGGAGGCTCAAAAACAAACTGGAACTAATGTTGAGCTGTAGCACCCTCTAGCTTCCATAACTGGAATGGCAAAGGGGTGATGGAGCATTGTCTGCTTGTAAGGGACTGGAAGGCCAGCTCTGACCTGGAAAGGTGCAAGACACAGCTCAAAACAGATTTGATGTGCCCTGTTCTTTTACCCACAATGTGCCTGTCATTCCTTTGAGGATGTCACCCAACATGCAGGCACTGGGTTCTACACAAGCCCACATCTGTTCAGATCTAGCCACAACTGAAGTCTACATTTCATCGTAGCCAACGATTTCCAGGTTTGCCCATACAGAGTGACCCATCAGGACTTTCCCTCGATGTCTCCAGACTTGGACATGACTGTGGGTGATGAAAGCCAGGAGAATGAAAACTGTAAAGATACGCCCTGGTCTCCTAACTCCTCTGCATGCTGGAAGGGCTCATGGATCTGTCCCCACCCCCTCACCCCCACCGCTACTATCACAGCTAGTGATGGGCAGTTCTCAGTCATCTCTGGTCAGAGCTGGCAGCTATGCCCGAGTCTCTGCTGGACTTCTCTGGTCTTTTGTCCCTGGGTGTGTCTCACCTAACTCTAGTGATATGTTCATAGTTAGGACCATCCTAGCAGCTGCCTGCTGGGGTCTGAGCCCAGCTCCTGACATTGGCACTGCCGGCACACTACCTAGGGGCGTGGGTCCTACCTGTACTGCATTAATTCGCTGCCTCCCTGAAACTCGCTGCATTCCTTTATCTCCATAGATCACCTGTCACACTTCTCCCAGGAGACTTCATGCAAGCAGGACTCCTGTCCTAGGCATCCGTACCTTCCTCCAAGCCCTTCCCAAGCCATAGCTCTGAACATTGTGTCACAAATGAAAATATGAAGAGTCTTGGAGGAGTAGAGATGATCTCACTCTTGAAGCAGAGGCCCTGGGCCTTTTATCATTTCTGTTGCCATGTCACCACAGCCCGCTCACTCGAGGGAAGCCAGCATGTGGATAAGCCACTGCAGACAATGACCAAGCAGACACTTGCCTTGAGAACAAGTCTTTATTTAGTTTGCCTCACTGTGAGGACAGACAAAGATTGACACTACAGGTCAAGAAAGTCAACTACAAAAAGTGGAAAGGGGGACAAGCGAAAGAAATCACTGCTGCTCCAGCGTTTGTCTCACAGGTGTGTGAGGTTGTAGACAGTGGTCGCATTTTCCAATGACAGTCTTCCCAGCCTTCAGCTGCAGATGCTGGGGGAACTTGGCCCCACCTTTCTTATCGGCTGTCTTATACTCTGCCATGCATCTGCGCTAAGGGAAACCCAGCCACGGTGTATCCGGTTGCTAAGCATCACACGCTCACATCTTCCATCCTTTCTGGGAATCTGTGGACAAGGAGCCAGTGTCTGTATAGGCTCTGCTTCACATCTTAGTGCTTGGAGGCTGGCCACGCGCAACGCGTGTCCTTCTTCCCAGTGTGAAGGCTGCCACAGCTAGGACCATGGCCAGGAAGATTCCACCAAAGATGGCAGCAGTAGGATAGACTGCCTGGGCACTAGCTGGCTTCTCCTCGTCCTTCACTGCCAAGTCTGAGGAAGGAAAGAGAGTGAGATGATGGAGTGGGATAGGACACAGGCCAGATACTGGCAGAGGAGACAAGGAACTGGGTAGTCCATGTCAGAACTTTTCAGTGGGGAGGGAAAAGGGGAAACTGAGGCTAGCCTCCAGGAGGCAGCTGAATGTTGGGCTAAAGAGATTTATTTCCCATTGTCTTGCTAGCCAGAGGAGTTAGGGGAGGATCTTCACGGGAACTCAGACCTGGACAGTTCTGGATTGGGTCTGTAGATGAGTGGGAAGAGAGAGAGCTGTGACATTTAAGCCAGTTGGGAAATGGTGACAAGAGTCCCGGGCAAAAGGAATCCAGGACCTGAACTACTGTGGTGACTGCAGACATAAATGGAAAACAGATATTGGACACCACCTACCTCTTCGCTTTGCCCACTGTCCTTTTCTACATAGCCCCACCTCCAATGGAGGCACCAACTGAGCACAAGGTCTGCCCTGCCCATAACTGTTTATTTGCCTCCTGCTATACAATAGGCCTTTGGTAAACATTTAATGAATGAGTGAGCAAAGAGTCTAGAATCAACTTGGTGTGGAGACCAACCTACTGTGACATGAGGAGAGGAAGCTTTCACAGATGGTTCCCAGAGCGCCATAGTGAAACCTTGATCTAGGGGTAGGTTTGTGACAATATACCAAACCCATTTCTTCCCCTGTCACCATGGCCATTATATCTCCCTACCTGACATCAGCCTAGGCCAGAAGTCCTAGGAGTCCTACTATGGAAATTTCCTAGTCCATGCCCACAACAAAACAACAACAGGGCAGAAATCACACCTACCACCTCCTCTAGGTGAGGAGTAAAAATGGCTGAGAGGCACTTGAGAAAGTGCTCAACATCCTTAGCCATCCGGGAAATGCAAATCAAAACAACTCTGAGATACCATCTCACTCCTGTCAGAATGGCTAAAATCAAAAACACCAATGACAATTTATGCTGGAGAGGATGTGGTGAAAGGGGGACACTCCTCCATTGCTGGTGGGAGTGCCAACTGGTTCAGCCACTTTGGAAATCAGTATGGAGATTCCTCAGAAAAATGGGAATAAACCTACCACAAGACCCAGCAACTCCACTCTTAGGCATATATCCAAAAGATGCCCATTCATACAACAAAGATGTCTGTTCCACTATGTTCAAAGCAGCTTTATTTGTAATAGCCAGAACTTGGAAGCAACCTAGATGTCCCTCAACCGAAGAGTGGATAGAGAAAATGTGGTACATTTACACAATGGAGTACTATTCAGCAGAAAAAAATAATGGAATCATGAGATTCGCAGGCAAATGGATGACACTAGAAGAAACCATCCTGAGTGAGGTAACCCAGTCACAAAAAGAGAAACATGACATGTACTCTCTCATATATGGATTTTAGACATAGATCTGGGGAGTGCCAGCCTACAATCCCATGGCCAGAGAGTCTGGGAAACAGAAACTTCCTTTAGTGGCTGATCGAAGAAGAGGCAGACTCCCTTGGTTAAGTACTGAGCTGAACTCAAGAAAGCCAGTAACAGAGAGGGAGGACTGATGATCAAAGGGATTAAGACTGGGCTGGTTTAACCCCCAGAAACAGCTGACCAGACAAAGGTTAACTCTTGAATCCCAGGCATCAGCCTGGGAATCCAGCATGGGACTGATCAAGACCCCCTGAATCTGGGTGTCAGTGAGGAGGCCTAGGTAATCTATTGAGCCTTGGGCAGCAGATCAGTACCCATCCCAAGTATACACACGGACTTTGGACTCCCATAGAACAATGTGAGGTGCACTCTCACCCTGAACTCTTGGGGAAGGGTCTAGGCCCTGCCCTATATGAAATGACAGACTATGGACACCCCCATGGAGGGCCTCACCCTCCCTGGGGGAATGAGGGGATAACGGGGGGGGGGGTTGGGAGGAGGGCAGGGGAGGAGGGGAGGGAAAGGAGAGGGACCTGGAACTGACTTGTGAAGCAACCTTGTTTCTTATCTAAATTTAAACTGGAAAATAAAAAAAAAGTAAAAAAAAATGGCCAATTTAGTGCCAGGCCCCCAAGAAGTCAAAATCAATTCATGCTGCCTGTATTTCCATGCCCCACTCAGCTGGTGAATTCAAAACACCTGTTGCCACCATGATGAAGGGCAATATTCCTATTAATTATGTTAACAACAAAAACTAGTACATTCATCAAATACCCAGTGATTTACACCAGACAGGGACCAAGGCAGTTTAAGGAACATTGCTTTAGCAAGCCCTCTTTACAATAAGAGACACTAGCCCTCTCACCCTATAGATAAGGATTCTGGGAGCTCCAAACCCAGAGAATCAAGCCTCCCAGGTCACAGCTCCTTTACCTGTGACCCACAGGTGACATTGAGTTTTGGGGGAAGGCAGCAGCCAGGCCTAATTCATTAATCAGTGTGCAGGTTGAGTTGGTCCACAGCCCAGACAAAAGTATCCCAAATCATCCAGAATCATGGACCCAAGTGGAAGGTGGGATCTGAGAGTAACCACCTACCCAGGCTCCTCTTGTCTTTGCTGGTGGATTGCAACTGGATGGGTCCCAGGACAACGTCCACCTTTTCTTGGTAGGAGCCTACATCCCTCTTGGACCTCACCACACAGCCTCTGTTGCACCGGGAAGAAGCATCGTATGCTTTGCACACCACCAGTTTACACTGCAGATACACTGATGGGAAGCGGTTCAGGAAGTGGAAGGAACTGAATTTGAAGCGGGCGATGCGTGGTGATGGCGAGGAGTAGAGTTGGTAAGTTTCATCTCTTATGCATCTGGAAGTAAGGAGAGGAACAGGTTAGCCTGCTGGGGCATGGCCTCACCTTAATTCCCTTGTACTCTGCAGTCATCCTGACAGCTGGGGCCTCCAGTGCCACCACACACTCCATGTGAGGTGTGCACATATGTCCCAGCAGCCCCAATACCTCGCCAGCATGTGGGCACCACAGCAAATTACCCAGCATAACAAGCTCAGTGTGTTCGGGGAACCAGGGGAGCTCAGTTTGGAATCTGAGCAAGCCAGAGTCAGGACAGGAAAGGAGATGGCCTTTTCTTCCCTTTCCTGGTCTCTGGGCTTTGAATGGTGACATTCAGATGTAGGTTGAGCATTTTACATGGTCCCTGACCCTTGTCTCCTAGGGCCTCTCTGCTGAGTCCCCCACCAGGCCTGGCCTGCCTCTGGGCAACTATACATCCATGTTGGCAGTTCTCCAAGACTCTACTCAAGTATCCAGCACTTCCTCTTCTCTTAGGCACCTGTCTCTTCTAGTGATAGAAGGAATCAGTCAATCTACTTAGGAATTCCATCGAGAAGAAGGTGAGGCTGCCTGCAGGGGACAATCCGTGAGCTTTAGTAATAGTGAGGCTTAAGTGACCAGTGAGAGGGAAGCAAGAAAACTGGCCTGGCCTTTAGAATAGCATGCTTCTTAGGTGGACTGTCCCTGTCCCAGAAGATTGTTCCTTGTCAGCTTACCCTCTTCCTCCTTCCTCCCAGAGCTTCCTTTCTGTTTCCACCTTCAATGCAACTGCCCTGAAGTACCCAGAATCCGTTTCTTTACTGTAGCCCTATTAGCATTCCAAGTGAAAGGGTAACCAGAGGTTTGCTCAGAGGCCCGACATTGAAAAGAATGGGGGGGGGGATGCTATACAGGCCAGAATGTCACTGCCCGCTAGGCAGTTTATTCTTAGGAGCCTCTACATGTTGAGGACCAGGGTGTAGCCAGTGAGTCCCTGTGCTCCAGGCCCAGTAGGCATCACAAATGGCACTGCCTCAAATATGGCAGAATGTCACATAGTCAAGAGCCCTATGACAGGGAAGAACTACTCGCTCTCTGGTTTGTATTCATTTAAGCCATTCCACTCCACTCAGGCTACTACTGAGAGCAAGAGGGGTCTAGGTAGTTTTCTCCTGTGTTGGCTGTGTTTCCAATGGGACAGTTTTAACATGAACCCACTATACAGATTGGACAAAAAGATGCCCAATCTCTGCTTGCTGAGTTCATATTCAAACAGTTCCTAAGAAGTGAGGCTGTCTTTGGCATCTCAGGTTGGTGTGAGATTTAAGCCCTCTGCCCTAATTACTACCAGCTCTTCTTACCCTGATAAGTATAACTTCCCATGGGAGACAATGGCTATTCAGGTGTCAAACACCATACTAGAAGCCAAGAAGCATCATGCTGACTGGTGGAGATTACAGTGGGGACTGGACTTGCACACCCAACACGCCAGGCTTCCTCCAAGAATGCAGAAGCATCACACCTCCTCCTCCAGGAAAGCTGGGGCAGAGGAGATCAGGGCATGTTTGGTCTCCATTGAATCAACCTCAACATGTCCTGTGCCGTGATGGAAAACTTGCATTCCTAGCGGATGGAGGATGTGAGGGTCATCCGCACCGATGGTGCAGTAACCCTCTAGGTCATCTGCTGACTCTGCTGTGTTCTCAGAGTCCATCATCCTTTATCATTTAACCTTGCCACTATCTCCAGTTGACTTGTGGGGCAGAAACTGACCCAGAGATTTATGTACTTTAGTTTGGGTCTGCTCTCAAATCAGCGTATTTTCCCATGACATGTTCATGTTTTTAACCCTTAGGCTAAAGTTGGGTGACTGGAGATCTAACCTGTTTATAGCCAGCCATCCAGTTTAGTGATCATTGGTGAGTCATTCCTCTCTTCCCACATGTGACTGGGACAAGGCGCCTAATAACCTGACGCCTTTATCAGGAATGTGACCCAGTAAACAGCACGAGGGCTCCTCAAAAGCCACACATAGAAAGCTATCTAAGCTTGAACCCCTGGCAAGTTCAGTTAACCAAAAATCTGCATTCCCTGAGTCTGTTTTGGCTACTCACGTGTGAGTTGTAAGGCAAAAGTTTGCATCTGTCCCATACACAAGTCCTTACCCGCTCCGGATAAGATCATATGTCAAAGATGAGAAGTCATTGGGGTACGGTGAAGCCACACAGGTGTCCACAAACAAGGCCAAAGAAGCATCAGAATGGAGGATTTCAGCCTGAAGGTACAAGTTCTGGTCCAGATCCACATAGTATGGGCTGCTGGTCACTGGATACAAGAAGGAGGAGGATGAATAAAAGGAGATGTTCACATCGAAGTTGCCGTACTGGACTTCTTGGATCTCGACAGTGTCATTGGTGATGTATATGGTGTTGACCCAGGTGTTCTGAAGCATCTTGCAGCTCACATGAATGTGGAGGTCCTTTTTCCTTTTGATGATGCCATTCGAAACAGCTGCTTTGAGGAAGTTGGAGTAGTTGATGGTCTCTTTGTCAGCCTAACAGAGGAAAGCAGATCATGTCGGGTCAGCACTGGTTAGGATAAGAGTGAGAGGGAAAAGACTCAGAGAGACTATTGCAAAATCGTGTATACAGAGGTGGCGCCTGTCTGCTTTGTGGCGGCTGTTACCTAGGATGGATGTCAGCTTAGCCAGCCAAATGTCCCTCAACTCTCCTACAGTCCCTGACACATGGTGAGGTAGGCCACAATGATCTGTACTTGTTGCTCTTCCTTGTGGCAAAATGGGGATGTCTTGCTGGCCGTTGACCTGCAGTGTGCCTGACCAAGCTCAGACTCCATGGTTCGGGACTCAGAGAATAGGTTCTGAGCCTATTCTCTCCATCACTGGGGGGGGGGGGGTCTCAGGGCAACTGATCTCATACTCTCGAGAGGGACCTTGTAATATCAGTGTGGAATGCTTTCTATTTTGAGTGACTTCTTCAGTGTGCTGATTTACACGGTGGAAGCTGGAGGTCACGAGATCCAGTTATAAGCAAAGCAGTCTCGACTGCTGAGGTTGAGACTTCCCCAGAGCCTTATGTGAACAACTGAATGGGGCTGTGGCAACCCTGAGGCCATTCCGATCTCAACACATTGTACTGTGGAACTATTCACTACTGGGACTTTCACTGAGCAGCAAGCTCATAAGGAGGCTGTTGCCTTGTGCCATTTAATGTGTCTGTCATCTCTGAGAGCTGCCATACCAGAAGCCTTACACCTAGGGGCTGTGTGCAGAGTCTTACCAAAAGATCTGTGTGACCAGGTCCTCACACACAGCCACAAGTGGCCCAGACCCACCTAGTAGACTAGCTAAGTGTCTGCTTCCCCTATGTGTTATCTGTGTGTCAGAGGACTGGAAAGGAGTTTCTCCTTAGCTTCACACAGGGCCTGGCATGTGGCAAATGCTTATCATGTGTCTGGGGTAGGAACATGACCCTGAAAAATTTATAGGCATCTTCACATGTATGTCTTGTGTATACCTGGGTAGTAAGACACACCACTTTTCCATTGTCCAAGCATCTCCATCCTGCCTTTAAAAACTTGTCCTCCCATCTAGAAACAGGTCACCCATGATAGCCTCTTCCCCATTGCACAGGCATTCTCTTTTGCTAAATTTAGTATGAATGGACATTTCTATCTAATAGTAATATGCATATAATGTTTGTATAAATCCTCTGTGTCTGGCTTTTTCTTAGCAGAATGTTTCTGTGATTCTTGGCTTTTATTGCCAATCCTGCCCCATCTGGAACTAAGAGGCCTTGGGCAATGGACTTGACCTCTCTTAATTCAGTCTCTTCACTTCTAAAGTGGGGTGACAATACAAGAATACTTATTAAGAATTTGGGAGTGGCCAGGCATGGTAGTGCAAATCTTTAATCCCAGCACTTCAAGAGACAGAAGCAGGCAGATCTCTCTGAGATCAAAGCCAGTCTGGTCTACATAGCTAGCAAGAACTACATGATGAATCCTTGTCTCAAAAAATAACAAATACAAAAGACTTTGGAAGTATGACACAGACTCATCACATTATCTTCCACTGACAGGATGACAATGGTCCCAGCTTGCCCAAGACTGGTGTTTCCCTGAGATATGGGGTAGTCTGTGCTAAAATCTGCCAAGTCTCAGGCAAATCCAAACAGGTAACCACTCTATTAGTCACATCCAACACATGATAGTCCATGGGCCACACTACTTAAAACACTGAGGCAGGTACATGCTTCTGTAAGTCATCATGCAGTACTCCAGACTGAATTTTGTACATGATGATGTCATGGTACAATGTCAAAAGGCTAGCCACCCTTGCTGTGGGCCACTCAAGAAATGTCAACCATGGCAATGAAGTGTGTGAAACCCAGTATTTCCCTGGCCTCCTCAGAGTCATTGCAATGTGTTTAAAAACTGTTTGCTGCTGTAGAACTCAGGAAAGTAAGGTGTGCTTGTATCTTTGGTTTAGTAGGCTTCTTCTTCCTTCTCCCAACCTCAAATGAAACCATAGATGCCTCAGGTTATACAAAATCCAGAGCTTCTCCTGGGAGCTGTGTGTGTCAGTGGAGTCTTGCTGGATGCCCTCTCTGCTGGACACAGCTGTGGAAACAGCCAGACCTCCTTGTTTCCACCTCCTTATACCTCCTATTTGGAAGTAGCTCTGGCTGCTATACCAGAAGCTCCTGTTTCCCTGCACATGAATTATGCTCTGATTATATCACAGCCATAACTCTTGGATCCCTAGGGGTCTAGAAGCACCACATATGTCACTGTGATAAAGCACACTCAGGGCTGGTGAGATGGCTCAGAGGATAAAAGAACTTGTTGCCACGCCTAAGAGGCTGAGTTCTATTCCTAGGACTCACGTGGTAAAAGGAAATGGCCAACTCTCACAAGTTGTCTTTTGACCTCCACATGCACACACACACACACACACACACACACACACACACACACTCACACACACACTCACACACTCACACACACTAATGCATATACTCACTCATACACACACACAAATAAAGTAAATTCTCAATATAGTGGGAGGTGCCAGGCTTACCTGTTTGGTAGTGCCACAGCCTGTGTAGGGAATTGTGAATATGACCTGCCTCTGCGTTATCTGTGGCCGGCACCGGTAGCTGGCATTCCAGCCAGGAATGCCAAGATCACTGGCAGAATAGCCCATGGACTGAAGGTAGCTCCTGCTCACACTAGCTTGCATGTGATTTGACAAACAAAGGAGACCTGAAGGACAAGAGCAGAGGGTGCTCTAAGTCAGGGTTCCAAACCCCACAACCTTTACTGTCTTTTCCCATGTAAAGATACACAGATCATGATGGCTGATGCACATGGTCCACACATGAGATGTATGCTCACAACAGAGTCACTATGACCCCATGGGTACCCTATGGCCACAGTCAGGATCATCCTCAGAAAAGCACAATGAGGCTTCTTAGACTTTAAGGATTTTCTGGTAGGTAACCAGAGACAGGATTTTAAATATCTGAAACATTTTGTCAAATTAGCATTATGCTAAGAAGTAAAACAATTGTGCAATAATATAATAGTGATGTTATTAGTAAGGTCCTTTAGCTAAGGAGAAAGTTAATGCCTCTGCTCATGGCTGAATAGGAGACCTTGGACATCACCTTGCTCAATCCTTAACCAATGTAGATATGGGTTCATATAGCATCTCAATTTGGGGCCATATAGTCTCTGTTAGAGTAGCTGCCCTTGTAAGGTACCCAGGTCTCTCCATCTTCAGACAGAAGCCAAATGTGTTAGGTCTCAGGACAAGCCCAGTGACTCACACTCTAGGAGGATCACAGAGTTGCAAACCTGGTGTCACCCACAACTCCTTCTGGCATTGTGTTCTCACTAGCTGTTGAGAACATCATCTTATACCTTCTTTTTCTTTGCCAACACACTAAAGCCAGAACAACTTTCATCAGCCAGTGCTGGCCCTTGACCCTATTTGGGATGTCCAGAGTCCCAGGACTCACTGCACACAGCCTCTCTCGACTGGCAATACAGGAAATCAATCATAGGGGCCAAAGTTGGGTGTTTTAGTTTTTTATGTTACAATCCCAGGACAGTACAGGAGCAGAAGCCTCCCAATGATGTCCCCCGTCCTACCAAGCCTTTGTTCTGACAAGGGAACTTACTGGTGATGTTACTGGCAAAGTCCGTGTAGTACTCAGCTTGGAACCCCCTTCGAGTAATGATGTGATCACTGATGAAGCGAACTGACATGAAGTTGGATGTTGAAGTGAAGGAGCCTCTGGCCCCATCACAAACCCGAGCAATGAGAGGAGAACTGCGGTGTGGGCCATCAAAAATCTCAATATAATCAAAGCTGCAGCCCCCTTCAAGCCTGAAGAGATAAAACGAGCAGTTAAGTTCTCTACTGTCCAGACTCAGATGCCCCTTCAAGCCTGAAGAGACAAGACGAGCAGTTAAGTTCTCTACTCCAGACTCAGATGAGGGCTCAGGTCTCGTGGAAACTCTGACCAAGGTCATTATTTGAGAGAACAGATGACTGCTTTGAATCCAGGGGGAGTTCATCTTGCTAAGGCTACCATGCCATGTCTTCATACTGCCATGTAAGGTCACATCTATGAGGTCTACATCTTTCTCCCTGACAGTCCTTTATACCAACAAAGGAAGGTCACCAGAGAACATCTTCATTTGTTCCTTCAGAATAAAACAAATAGTCAATGAATTCATAGTGATAGAGATCAATAATGAAAGAAGTGAACCCCGAAGCTCACTAATGCCCGGATTGCTCATCTACTAAGATGAACAGTGTGTACGATGTACACTGAAGACAGTGGTGGTGCCCACATGGAGCTCTTCATGGGAAAAATAGTTCATGAAAGGTCACAAGCAGTGGACACTGTCATTGGGATGCTAGAGAACACAGGCGGAGTTTCTTGGCTAGCTGGGCCACTCGCCTCCCAGAATGAAACGTATATTAGTGGGCTTTTGTAGGCATCTCCTCTGCTCAAGGACATTTTCATTTGTAAGTGCATGAGTGATGGAAACGTTACCATAAGCATCAATACATGGTGGCTCCTGAGGACTCGCGGAAAGGAAGGGGTTAATGAGGAAAGGGGTGCACTTGTATATTGTGCTCCCAAGGCACAAGCTCTCCACCCCACCCTACCCATTACAAATACTTCCAAGTATTTTCACAGTCTCTGGTGACCTCCTGATGAACAAGATGAGAAAAGCGGAGTTCTAGCCCCTTCTACTGGATGAGGCTTAGGAGAGTGGCACCCACGGCCATGTAGTAAACTCAGGACAACCCTGGGACTTTAAGTCACAATGTTCTCAAATTCCTGTCCTCTTGCTCCCATCCCACCACCCTCCATGAGCCACTCTCCAAATCAAAACTGGAACCCTTATTTTAAATGTCAATTTGACTATCATCCTTGAATTTCCAAGCACCCGCATTCTCTCTCTAATATCTGCTCTGCACCCACACTTACTGCACGTCTCTGAAGTTCAAGATCACACGGTAGTTGTTTGGGGCCTCAATGTTCCACACACATCTGGCATTGTTAGGATAATTCCCGGGGTAGAATGGACTGGAAAAGTTCCCAAAGGGTTGGGTCAGGAAACCTCCGCAGGTATAGCTTACTGTCAGGAAGAGTAGAAATGTTGATGAACCCCAAAACACAACACACTGCTGCCTAGCAGAAGAAGGGCGTTTGACATAATCTCCAAGTGAAGAACCCAATAAAAATCAGCCTAGCCCTGGCTCACTCACTGAAGGTTAGGGGACTGTTAGTGTGTGTGTGTGTGTGTGTGTGTGTGTGTGTGTGTGTGTGTGTGTGTGTATGTGTCTCTGTGTGTGTGTGTGTGTGTGTGTGTGTGTGTGCCTGTATGTACCTGTGCCTATATCTGTGATGTAATATCAGGTAGCTGGGCATGTATACACAACTCAGATGTGTGTTTTGAGACAAGGTCTCTCATTGAACCTGGAGTTTACTGGTTAAGTTCATAAACCCTTGCTTTCACTGAGTGACAAAAAAAGGGTGGGGAATAGACCACTTGGACCTGTGCATGGTACATGGACTCTGGATGCAAAGGGATTTTTAGCCCCCATCTCATGTTTTTTTCCAATGATGTGTGAATTTGCTGGTGAGGGTTGGATCTCTTTGATGAATGGAGACATCTAGAGCAAGGAACAATACTCTCCAGCTATTTCTATGTATCCTGATTCATGGAGTCCAAGAATGCATCCTTCTTGAAGAGATAGCACTATGGCTTAGATATAAAATATCCATCAGAACACTTTGAACTGGGGTGTGTCCAGTAACAGTGTCTCCCTCACTCTCTAGACTGCATCTCCCTCTCTCCCCCACCAAACTCAACCATGAGAGAAGGAATACTGAAACCAGTGCTTTTCTCCTTGATTCTTCTACCCACTGAGAAGTTAAAAGGGATGCTTAGGCATAATTGACACTGTTAACACCTATCTCAGGGCTTATCACAGGAAACTATGTGTTTGCTGGAATGGTTTTCAATTTCTTTGCAGAACAGAAAATCTAGAGGAAGCACTACGGACTCTACACCTATTTCTACCTGTTCTGACTCACAGAGTTCAGGGCATCAATCTTCTTGCAATGCTATTATGTTCTGAATAGAACAGGAAGTGTCCATCAATGGGCACGTATTAAAGGCCTGCAGTCCCACTCATGAGCCCAACCCTATGTTTGGATCCTGAGGGCTCTTACAAACTCTGTTCATTGATTATGTGCTGGATTACATAGCAGATGGATTTTGGGGACAGAGTGGATCACCGGTGATGTACACACCGGTGTCCTCTTCCTAATTGCTTTGTTTTTCCTTCCCTTCATGAGCTGTGCTCCACCACAGTCATCAAAAATATCCCAGAATTCTGATCTCTCTCTAACCATGTAGTTGAATTGCTTAAAGGCATGCTTTGATCTCACCCCAAGCTTACCATTGTAAGGAGTTGTTGTCCACCAATCTGGAGAGAGAGAAAACAAAGCTGGATTAGAAGGAAGGTCTATGCACAAAGCTTGGTCAAGTGGAAAACATTGGACACAGAAGCACTGTGGCTAACAAAAAGAGAGTCCCTTTCCTGAGAGCATATGGTGGTCCTGACTGTGCTCACATATGTCCATCATAGTGACAAGCAGCTGGCTCAGGGTCCAGGGCAACTATACCTTCCTCATGGATGACATTTGCTTGGTAAAAGGATCATGCCATCTATACCATTAGCAAATAACAGGAACAAACTCTGCTGTCACCAAGTCATATGACTCTTGTAAGACAACTGTCATAGAAAATGACCTCCATAGCAAATGATTCACCAGGGAAGTGAAGTTTAGCAAAATGGATGAAGTGGGGCAAATTTTATGTCACTGAGACAGGCAGAGGGTGGCATTGGCTCAGCTGTCCTTTGTTCTAGGTTCATTTTGTTTCCCCTGTCTTCCTGAGCTGTGCTCCACCACAAAATTCAAGAAGATTCCAGAATTCCCGTTGAAAGCTATGATGTGGTTTTACCCCAAAAATAACCATAGATAATAGTTGTTGTTTTCCACCATTCTGGAAAGGGAAACAAAACTGGATTAGAAGGAAGACCTGTGTATCAAAGATGGGTCAACTTTGCTGGGAAAGTAAAAGACTGCACACAGAAACACAGTGGCTGAGAAAAAGAAAGCCCTTCCCTGGAGAGCCTGTGGTGACACTAGACATGCTCTCCTGTGTCCATGCTATTGAGGCAGGGTGGACCAGAACCCAGTGCAATGATAACATTGCCATGAATAACAATACTTGGTAAAAGAATAAGGCCGTCTATCCTGCAGTAATTTGGTAAGAACAGTCTCCTCTGTCCCATGTCACTTGACCCTTGCAAAAGATAGTGCTCTCTAGAGAAATGCCATAGGAAAACTTCTCTATAGCAAAAGGTTTCTCCAGGATAGTTAAGTTTAGCAAAATGGATTTAAGTACTGCAACTTCATTATGCCACTCAACAAGCAGAGGGTACCTTTTGGCTCAAAAGAAATCACCACTCTCCTTTATAGAGAAGGCTGACAGATCTGGTACACACAGAATTCTGAAGGGTCCCACCCATTCTGCAGTAGTTTCTGAGGCTGTGAGCAGAACAGGCATGGGGGAAGCATAAGCACTGAGGGAGATGTGGACTCACCTGGAGTGACTGGGAATGGCGTTGGAACAGCTGTGAGAAAAAGAAGCCATGTCAGTGTCCTTGAACAGAAGGAAACTAGCCTACCCTGGCCCTGGGTTCATGACACTGAGCAGACCAGACACTGGGTTGTACTCATCTGATGCCTCAGAGTAGAGATGGCTAATCATCTACATGGCCAGGATGATGCTACCCATGGGGTCATAAGAGCCCACACTCTGCTCCCACCTCAAGGTTGACATGATGAGTCCTGTAATTTATATCTGTCCAGTGAGTCAGGGGTAACTATCCAGGTCCAATTCTTACACTGGATCACTCAGGCCTCCCAGGACAGCCCCACCCACACTGGACTGGAGGCACAGACATGGAGGATTTATACACATGAATACAGAAATTACCCCAGTACCTGAAAGAAATGGGCACAGACACAAACCTTCACCAAAGCCCAATGAGGGAACCTGAACTTAGGATTCTCTGATGGGGACCCAGAGTCATGGTTTTAAACAAGCAAAATGTCTTGTCAAATGATCATTTTCCCATGAAGTAAATAAAGCAACTCCAAGGTCAAAGAGTAGCAGAGACATGGGGTAGGGCCTTAAGCTAAGGACAAAGTCGGTGTCTCTGCCCTCACTACATAAGCAACCTTGGATATCACATGCCTCAGCCCTTCACCCTCAGACTCAGAGGTCTACATACTGTCTCTAATTCAGGCCTCATAGCCTCTGATAGAATGTTCTGTCCGTCTTCATATGTCCTAATCTTCCCTTCAGACAGGACATGGACAGTGTCCCCCACTTGGGAAGGCTCACAAAGCTCCACACCTGGTGTCACCCCCACTCCTGAAACTGACTTCACACTATCTGTTGAAGAATCACCTTAGACCTTTTCATTCTCTGATGATGACCCCGAAGCCAGTGTACCTCCCATAAGACAGTGCTGGACCTCAACCATTTTCCAGCAGTCAGAGCCCATGATTCACTGCATACAGTGTCTCTCCATAGGAGACAGCATGGGACCAAGTGAGGCCATGCTATTCCTTATGTCACAATCTCAGCAAAGTTTTTGATCAGAAGGCACCTAGTGACACCCGCAAATCAAATGGACATTCATTATCACAAAGGAACTTACGGGTGTGAGGGACATAGGTAGCATAATAGTTAGCCTGGAACCCTCTCATGGTGACACTGCCATCAGTGATGAAGACTACGGACATGAAGTTCCATGTCGAGGTGAAAGTTCCATTGGCCCCATCACAAACCCGAGCAATGAGAGAAGAATTGTATACAGGACCATCATAAAGCAGGATGTAGTCATAGCTGCAGCCTCCTTCAAGCCTTCAGAGACAGAATAAGCAGTTAGTTTTTCTGTGTCTGGAATTTGATGTGGGGCTCACGTCTCAGGGATCACTGTCCTGATCACACTGACAAAAAGTATCATCTGAAAGAGTAGATGCCTTCCTGGAATCCTAAGGGAATTCGTCCATCATCCCAAGATGTCATGCCTGGCCTACAAGGTGTGATGCTTTCAGGGTACAGATGTGTAATCTATAATACCTATAATACTCCTCCTGATGCCTCTTGGAATGAGAGAGAGCCATGAGGACCACTTTGCACTATATAGGTCCCTCATTGAACCCCCAAGAACGTCATTACCCAAGCACCAAACTGGCCCTCCCAATGAGTAATAGGTCCAAGTTTTCCACATTCTCTGATCACTTCTTGGTCAACAAGATGAGTAGAGCAGGTGTTCTAGCCCCTTCTTCTGACTGGGGCTTAGGAGAGTGGCATCTCATCGCCATGCAGAAAATTCAGGACAACCCTGGGACTTTAGCCAGAGTATTTTCAACTTCCTGTGCCTTGCACCCATCCCACCCTCCATGGGCTACTCTCATGTCAAGTCAAAATGGACCCCTTTAAAAAGTCACCTTGACTATTGCCCCGTAAATTCCCAAGCACCCCATATTGTCTCTCCTACATCTGCTGTTGATCCACACTTACTGCAAATCTCTGAAGTTCAAGGTCACACGGTTATTGGATGGGACCAAAATGTTCCACACACATCTGGCATTGTTAGGGTAATTCCCAGGGTAGAAGGGACTTGAAAAGTTCCCATAGTGTCCAGTCAGGTAACCTCCACAGGTATAGTCTACTGCAAGGAAAGAGTCGAAATGCTGATGGACTCCAGTACACACCCCATAACCGCCTGACAGAAAGCTAAATGTTTGACACAATATCCAAGGGATGAATCCAACAAGAGGTCACCTATCTCTGGTCAACACTAAAGGCATGGAGGACACCCTCCTAGGTGGCTTTTCTTTGTAGAGGTAAGTGCAGGTTGGGTACTAAATGGGTGACAGGAATGGCCATCTTGGGGAAGTCCAAGTGTCCCCTATGACTCCCTGGTTGCCAGATGATGGTGGGTATTGGAGCCCTTGGACCAGTGGTGCAGAATTTCTGCACCCTGGACCTGAAGAGATCATCAGGCATAATGAACACTAGTGTCAGGGTTTTTTAAGGTGCCTAAATGTTTGCTGGTATGGCCTTCAATGCCACTGCATAACAGAGAATCTCTGGAGGAAGCACTCTGAACTCTACACCCTGTTTTCTACCTACTCTGACTCACAAAGTCCAGGACCATGAACGTATGGCAAAGTTATCATGTTCTGAATGGAATAGAAACTGCCCAAAAATGGGCAATATATAAGATCTGGAGTCCTGCTCATGAGTCCCAAGCCCCATTAGGGCTCTTCATAAATCTATCCACTGATTCTGCAATGGATTAAATAGGAGACGGATTTTGGTGAACAACGTAGATCACTGGGGATGTACACAAGGATATTACGTCATCCTAATTCCTTTCTCCTTTTCTTCCTGAACTGTGTTCCACCATAGATTTAAGAAGATTCTAGAATTCCTAACTCTCTCCAAAACCTTGGATAAAGTGTTTAAAGCTATACTTTAGTCTCATGCCACACATACCAGGGGAAATTGTATTGAACCAATCAGGAGAGAAAACAAAACTGGATTAGAAGGAAGACCTGTGCATGACAGACGAGTCAAGTTGGAAACATTGAACACAAGCATTGTGGTTCAGAAAAAGAAAATACTTCCCTTGAATACATGTGGTGAAACTGGACGTAGTCTCCTGTGCCCCTGCTATTGAAGGTAAGGTGAACCAGAACCCATTGCATTAATAAAATTGTCATGAATAACAATACTTGATAAAAGAATAAGGCCATCTATCCTGCAGTAATTTGGTAAGAACAGTGTCTGCTGTCCCATGTCATTTGTCCCTTACAAAACAGAAATACCATAGGAAAGGGTCTCTGTAGCAAATGGTTTCTACAGGATAGTGAAATTTAGCAAAATGGATTTAAGTACTGCAACTTCGTTATGCCACTCAACAAGCAGAGGGTACCTTTTGGCTCAAAAGAAATCACCACTCTCCTTTATAGAGAAGGCTGACAGATCTGGTACACACAGAATTCTGAAGGGTCCCACCCATTCTGCAGTAGTTTCTGAGGCTGTGAGCAGAACAGGCATGGGGGAAGCATAAGCACTGAGGGAGATGTGGACTCACCTGGAGTGACTGGGAATGGCGTTGGAACAGCTGTGAGAAAAAGAAGCCATGTCAGTGTCCTTGAACAGAAGGAAACTAGCCTACCCTGGCCCTGGGTTCATGACACTGAGCAGACCAGACACTGGGTTGTACTCATCTGATGCCTCAGAGTAGAGATGGCTAATCATCTACATGGCCAGGATGATGCTACCCATGGGGTCATAAGAGCCCACACTCTGCTCCCACCTCAAGGTTGGCATGATGAGTCCTGTAATTTATATCTGTCCAGTGAGTCAGGGGTAACTATCCAGGTCCAATTCTTACACTGGATCACTCAGGCCTCCCAGGACAGCCCCACCCACACTGGACTGGAGGCACAGACATGGAGGATTTATACACATGAATACAGAAATTACCCCAGTACCTGAAAGAAATGGGCACAGACACAAACCTTCACCAAAGCCCAATGAGGGAACCTGAACTTAGGATTCTCTGATGGGGATCCAGAGTCATGGTTTTAAACAAGCAAAATGTCTTGTCAAATGATCATTTTCCCATGAAGTAAATAAAGCAACTCCAAGGTCAAAGAGTAGCAGAGACATGGGCCTTAAGCTAAGGACAAAGTCGGTGTCTCTGCCCTCACTACATAAGCAACCTTGGATATCACATGCCTCAGCCCTTCACCCTCAGACTCAGAGGTCTACATACTGTCTCTAATTCAGGCCTCATAGCCTCTGATAGAATGTTCTGTCCGTCTTCATATGTCCTAATCTTCCCTTCAGACAGGACATGGACAGTGTCCCCCACTTGGGAAGGCTCACAAAGCTCCACACCTGGTGTCACCCCCACTCCTGAAACTGACTTCACACTATCTGTTGAAGAATCACCTTAGACCTTTTCATTCTCTGATGATGACCCCGAAGCCAGTGTACCTCCCATAAGACAGTGCTGGACCTCAACCATTTTCCAGCAGTCAGAGCCCATGATTCACTGCATACAGTGTCTCTCCATAGGAGACAGCATGGGACCAAGTGAGGCCATGCTATTCCTTATGTCACAATCTCAGCAAAGTTTTTGATCAGAAGGCACCTAGTGACACCCGCAAATCAAATGGACATTCATTATCACAAAGGAACTTACGGGTGTGAGGGACATAGGTAGCATAATAGTTAGCCTGGAACCCTCTCATGGTGACACTGCCATCAGTGATGAAGACTACGGACATGAAGTTCCATGTCGAGGTGAAAGTTCCATTGGCCCCATCACAAACCCGAGCAATGAGAGAAGAATTGTATACAGGACCATCATAAAGCAGGATGTAGTCAAAGCTGCAGCCTCCTTCAAGCCTTCAGAGACAGAATAAGCAGTTAGTTTTTCTGTGTCTGGAATTTGATGTGGGGCTCACGTCTCAGGGATCACTGTCCTGATCACACTGACAAAAAGTATCATCTGAAAGAGTAGATGCCTTCCTGGAATCCTAAGGGAATTCGTCCATCATCCCAAGATGTCATGCCTGGCCTACAAGGTGTGATGCTTTCAGGGTACAGATGTGTAATCTATAATACCTATAATACTCCTCCTGATGCCTCTTGGAATGAGAGAGAGCCATGAGGACCACTTTGCACTATATAGGTCCCTCATTGAACCCCCAAGAACGTCATTACCCAAGCACCAAACTGGCCCTCCCAATGAGTAATAGGTCCAAGTTTTCCACATTCTCTGATCACTTCTTGGTCAACAAGATGAGTAGAGCAGGTGTTCTAGCCCCTTCTTCTGACTGGGGCTTAGGAGAGTGGCATCTCATCGCCATGCAGAAAATTCAGGACAACCCTGGGACTTTAGCCAGAGTATTTTCAACTTCCTGTGCCTTGCACCCATCCCACCCTCCATGGGCTACTCTCATGTCAAGTCAAAATGGACCCCTTTAAAAAGTCACCTTGACTATTGCCCCGTAAATTCCCAAGCACCCCATATTGTCTCTCCTACATCTGCTGTTGATCCACACTTACTGCAAATCTCTGAAGTTCAAGGTCACACGGTTATTGGATGGGACCAAAATGTTCCACACACATCTGGCATTGTTAGGGTAATTCCCAGGGTAGAAGGGACTTGAAAAGTTCCCATAGTGTCCAGTCAGGTAACCTCCACAGGTATAGTCTACTGCAAGGAAAGAGTCGAAATGCTGATGGACTCCAGTACACACCCCATAACCGCCTGACAGAAAGCTAAATGTTTGACACAATATCCAAGGGATGAATCCAACAAGAGGTCACCTATCTCTGGTCAACACTAAAGGCATGGAGGACACCCTCCTAGGTGGCTTTTCTTTGTAGAGGTAAGTGCAGGTTGGGTACTAAATGGGTGACAGGAATGGCCATCTTGGGGAAGTCCAAGTGTCCCCTATGACTCCCTGGTTGCCAGATGATGGTGGGTATTGGAGCCCTTGGACCAGTGGTGCAGAATTTCTGCACCCTGGACCTGAAGAGATCATCAGGCATAATGAACACTAGTGTCAGGGTTTTTTAAGGTGCCTAAATGTTTGCTGGTATGGCCTTCAATGCCACTGCATAACAGAGAATCTCTGGAGGAAGCACTCTGAACTCTACACCCTGTTTTCTACCTACTCTGACTCACAAAGTCCAGGACCATGAACGTATGGCAAAGTTATCATGTTCTGAATGGAATAGAAACTGCCCAAAAATGGGCAATATATAAGATCTGGAGTCCTGCTCATGAGTCCCAAGCCCCATTAGGGCTCTTCATAAATCTATCCACTGATTCTGCAATGGATTAAATAGGAGACGGATTTTGGTGAACAACGTAGATCACTGGGGATGTACACAAGGATATTACGTCATCCTAATTCCTTTCTCCTTTTCTTCCTGAACTGTGTTCCACCATAGATTTAAGAAGATTCTAGAATTCCTAACTCTCTCCAAAACCTTGGATAAAGTGTTTAAAGCTATACTTTAGTCTCATGCCACACATACCAGGGGAAATTGTATTGAACCAATCAGGAGAGAAAACAAAACTGGATTAGAAGGAAGACCTGTGCATGACAGACGAGTCAAGTTGGAAACATTGAACACAAGCATTGTGGTTCAGAAAAAGAAAATACTTCCCTTGAATACATGTGGTGAAACTGGACGTAGTCTCCTGTGCCCCTGCTATTGAAGGTAAGGTGAACCAGAACCCATTGCATTAATAAAATTGTCATGAATAACAATACTTGATAAAAGAATAAGGCCATCTATCCTGCAGTAATTTGGTAAGAACAGTGTCTGCTGTCCCATGTCATTTGTCCCTTACAAAACAGAAATACCATAGGAAAGGGTCTCTGTAGCAAATGGTTTCTACAGGATAGTGAAATTTAGCAAAATGGATTTAAGTACTGCAACTTCGTTATGCCACTCAACAAGCAGAGGGTACCTTTTGGCTCAAAAGAAATCACCACTCTCCTTTATAGAGAAGGCTGACAGATCTGGTACACACAGAATTCTGAAGGGTCCCACCCATTCTGCAGTAGTTTCTGAGGCTGTGAGCAGAACAGGCATGGGGGAAGCATAAGCACTGAGGGAGATGTGGACTCACCTGGAGTGACTGGGAATGGCGTTGGAACAGCTGTGAGAAAAGAAGCCATGTCAGTGTCCTTGAACAGAAGGAAACTAGCCTACCCTGGCCCTGGGTTCATGACACTGAGCAGACCAGACACTGGGTTGTACTCATCTGATGCCTCAGAGTAGAGATGGCTAATCATCTACATGGCCAGGATGATGCTACCCATGGGGTCATAAGAGCCCACACTCTGCTCCCACCTCAAGGTTGGCATGATGAGTCCTGTAATTTATATCTGTCCAGTGAGTCAGGGGTAACTATCCAGGTCCAATTCTTACACTGGATCACTCAGGCCTCCCAGGACAGCCCCACCCACACTGGACTGGAGGCACAGACATGGAGGATTTATACACATGAATACAGAAATTACCCCAGTACCTGAAAGAAATGGGCACAGACACAAACCTTCACCAAAGCCCAATGAGGGAACCTGAACTTAGGATTCTCTGATGGGGATCCAGAGTCATGGTTTTAAACAAGCAAAATGTCTTGTCAAATGATCATTTTCCCATGAAGTAAATAAAGCAACTCCAAGGTCAAAGAGTAGCAGAGACATGGGCCTTAAGCTAAGGACAAAGTCGGTGTCTCTGCCCTCACTACATAAGCAACCTTGGATATCACATGCCTCAGCCCTTCACCCTCAGACTCAGAGGTCTACATACTGTCTCTAATTCAGGCCTCATAGCCTCTGATAGAATGTTCTGTCCGTCTTCATATGTCCTAATCTTCCCTTCAGACAGGACATGGACAGTGTCCCCCACTTGGGAAGGCTCACAAAGCTCCACACCTGGTGTCACCCCCACTCCTGAAACTGACTTCACACTATCTGTTGAAGAATCACCTTAGACCTTTTCATTCTCTGATGATGACCCCGAAGCCAGTGTACCTCCCATAAGACAGTGCTGGACCTCAACCATTTTCCAGCAGTCAGAGCCCATGATTCACTGCATACAGTGTCTCTCCATAGGAGACAGCATGGGACCAAGTGAGGCCATGCTATTCCTTATGTCACAATCTCAGCAAAGTTTTTGATCAGAAGGCACCTAGTGACACCCGCAAATCAAATGGACATTCATTATCACAAAGGAACTTACGGGTGTGAGGGACATAGGTAGCATAATAGTTAGCCTGGAACCCTCTCATGGTGACACTGCCATCAGTGATGAAGACTACGGACATGAAGTTCCATGTCGAGGTGAAAGTTCCATTGGCCCCATCACAAACCCGAGCAATGAGAGAAGAATTGTATACAGGACCATCATAAAGCAGGATGTAGTCATAGCTGCAGCCTCCTTCAAGCCTTCAGAGACAGAATAAGCAGTTAGTTTTTCTGTGTCTGGAATTTGATGTGGGGCTCACGTCTCAGGGATCACTGTCCTGATCACACTGACAAAAAGTATCATCTGAAAGAGTAGATGCCTTCCTGGAATCCTAAGGGAATTCGTCCATCATCCCAAGATGTCATGCCTGGCCTACAAGGTGTGATGCTTTCAGGGTACAGATGTGTAATCTATAATACCTATAATACTCCTCCTGATGCCTCTTGGAATGAGAGAGAGCCATGAGGACCACTTTGCACTATATAGGTCCCTCATTGAACCCCCAAGAACGTCATTACCCAAGCACCAAACTGGCCCTCCCAATGAGTAATAGGTCCAAGTTTTCCACATTCTCTGATCACTTCTTGGTCAACAAGATGAGTAGAGCAGGTGTTCTAGCCCCTTCTTCTGACTGGGGCTTAGGAGAGTGGCATCTCATCGCCATGCAGAAAATTCAGGACAACCCTGGGACTTTAGCCAGAGTATTTTCAACTTCCTGTGCCTTGCACCCATCCCACCCTCCATGGGCTACTCTCATGTCAAGTCAAAATGGACCCCTTTAAAAAGTCACCTTGACTATTGCCCCGTAAATTCCCAAGCACCCCATATTGTCTCTCCTACATCTGCTGTTGATCCACACTTACTGCAAATCTCTGAAGTTCAAGGTCACACGGTTATTGGATGGGACCAAAATGTTCCACACACATCTGGCATTGTTAGGGTAATTCCCAGGGTAGAAGGGACTTGAAAAGTTCCCATAGTGTCCAGTCAGGTAACCTCCACAGGTATAGTCTACTGCAAGGAAAGAGTCGAAATGCTGATGGACTCCAGTACACACCCCATAACCGCCTGACAGAAAGCTAAATGTTTGACACAATATCCAAGGGATGAATCCAACAAGAGGTCACCTATCTCTGGTCAACACTAAAGGCATGGAGGACACCCTCCTAGGTGGCTTTTCTTTGTAGAGGTAGGTGCAATTTGGTTTCTGAATGGGTGACAGGAATGGCCAGTTTGGGGAAGTCCATCCAAGTCACAGCAAAGTGTTCCCTATGCTTATGACTCCCTGGTTGCCAGATGATGGTGGGTTTAAGAGGCCTCGGACTAGTAGTGCAGAGTTTTTGCACCCTTTAGATAAAGAGATCATCAGGCATAATTAAGAGCTATCTTGGGACTTCTTTCAGATGCCTGCATGTTGGCTAGAATGTACTTCAAACTCTCTGAAGAACAGAGAAAATCTGGAGGAAGCACTGTTAACTCTACACCTTTTTCTACCCATTCTGACTCACAGAGTCCTGGGCCCTGGTCTTCGTGAAAAGCTATCATGTTCTGAATGAAATAAAAAGTGCCCACCAATGGGCACATATTAAAGACCTGGAGTCCTGCTCATGATTCCATCCCCATGAGTCCATCCCTAATGCACATGAGGGTGCTAACTTAGTCTATCCATTGAAACTGGGATGTATTAAATAGAAGATGGATTTTGGGGACAACATGAACCACTGGGGGTGTACTCGCTTTGTTTCTCTTCCTAATTGCTTTGTTTCTCCTTCCCTTCATGATCTGTGCTCCACCACAGTCATCAAAAATATCCCAGAATTCTGATCTCTCTCTCTAACCATGTAGTTGAATTGTTTAAAGTCATGCTTTGATCTCACCCCAAGCTTACCATTGTAAGGAGTTGTTGTCCACCAATCTGGACAGAAAACAAAGCTGGATTAGAAGGAAGGTCTATGCACAAAGCTTGGTCAAGTGGAAAACATTGGACACAGAAGCACTGTGGCTGAGAAAAAGAGAGTCCCTTTCCTGAGAGCATATGGTGGTCCTGACCGTGCTCACATATGTCCATCATAGTGACAATCAGCTGGCTCAGGGTCCAGGGCAACTATACCTTCCTCCTGAATGACATTTGCTTGGTAAAAGTATCATGTAATCTATACCATAAGGGTATGACAGGAACAAACTCTACTGTCACTATGTCACATGACTCTTGCAAGGCAACTATCATAGAAAATGACCTCCATAGCAAATGATTCACCAGGGAAGTGAAGTTTAGCAAAATAGATGAAGTGGGGCAAATTTTATGTCACTGAGACAGGCAGAGGGTGGCATTGGCTCAGCTGTCCTTTGTTCTAGGTTCATTTTGTTTCCCCTGTCTTCCTGAGCTGTGCTCCACCACAGAATTTAAGATATCCCAGAATTCCTGTCTCTCTCCAAGCTCTTGGTTGAAATGTTTGAAGCTATGCTTTGATCTCAACTCACACTTACCAGGGAAAGGTGTTGTATCGAACCAATCTGGAGAGAAAACAAAGCTGGATTAGAAGGAAGGTCTATGCACAAAGCTTGGTCAAGTGGAAAACATTGGACACAGAAGCACTGTGGCTGAGAAAAAGAGAGTTGTTCCCTTGAGAGCATATGCTGGTCCTGTCCATGCTCATGTATGTCCATGATAGTACAAGCAGCTGACTCAGGGTCCAGGACAACTATGCCTTATTCCTGAATGACATTTGCTTGGTAAAAGTATCATGTAATCTATACCATAAGGGTATGACAGTAACAAACTCTGCTGTCACCATGCCACATGACTCTTGCAAGGCAACTATCATAGAAAATGACCTCCATAGCAAATGATTCACCAGGGAAGTAAAGTGTAGCAAAATAGATGAAGTGGGGCAAATTTTATGTCACTGAGACAGGCAGAGGGTGGCATTGGCTCAGCAGACAACACTGCCCTTTGTTCTCAGTTGCTTTCTTTCTCCTTGTCTTCCTGAGCTGTGCTCCACCACAGAATTTAAGTTATCCCAGAATTCCTGTCTTTCTCCAAGCTCTTGGTTGAAGTGCTTTGGTCTCACCCAAGCTTACCATAGATAATAGTTGTTTGGGGCCAACCTGGAGAGGAAAACAAAACTGGATTAGAAGGAAGACCTGTGCAACAAAGTTGGGCCAAGACACCTTAGCTGAGAAGAGTAAAAGTTTGGACACAGAAGTACTATGCTGGAAAAAAAGAGAGTCCTTTCCTTGAGAGCATGTGGTAGCGTTGGGCATGCTCTCAAGGGTCACTCACTGCAGCAATTAGGTAGCCCAGAGTCCTAAGGCCACTGTAACTTTGTCCTGAATTACAGTTGCTTAGTAAAAGAATCATGCCATCTATTCCTTATGACCAAGGCAGGAATAGTCTCGCCTGTTCCATGTCACATGGCTCTTGCATGAGATACAGCTTTCTAGACGTTTAGTATAGTAAAGGGCCTTCATAGCAAATGATTTCACCAGGAGAGGGAAGTGCAGAAAAATCACATAAGTGCCGCCACTGAGACAAGCAAGGGTGATATTTGGCTCAACAGAAGCTGCCTCTTTACTTTATGGAGAATGCTGAAGGTTTGGGGGCTGACAGATTCCTGAACATTCCCACCATTCTATCGCTGCTGGTTATGGCTGTGAGCAGATTAAGCATCCCTAACCAATAAGAGATCATCAGCTCAGCTATGTGTGAAACTCCTTTCTATACTGCCAAACACAAAGGATCACAGGTCAGGCAGGAAACTCCATAACCTTCATCCCTTTATTAGCATAGCAAGTTTCATCCAGAGACATATGGGGAGCCTGACATATGGGGAGCTTGACCATAGTAAGAAGATACATTACCTGTTGTAGTATCTGGGGTAGTAGTATGCCATATGTCTGAAATTGACAACAAAAAGAAAAGTTATAGTTAGACTGGGAGACAAATAGACACCAAGAGATATCCTAATCCCATGCAGAATCCATTCAAGAGTTGCATTTGTGACTTATGTGTTGGGGAAGTCCTGTGTATATGTCAATAAATTACTGCTGGCCAATAGGAATCTAGATAGGTGGGGCTAGGAGTCCAGAAGGATTCTGGGAAGGAGAAACAGAGGAGTCGCCATGTAACCGCATGGGGTAGGAAGCCCGGAACTATTCTACGGTAAGAGACATACTTAGATTAACAATTATGGGGTAATTACTTAAGGCAGAGCTAGCCAGTAAGAGACAAGCAAGGCCAACAGCTTCATAATGAATACAGTCTCCTGTGTGTTTATTTGGGGACTACAGTGCAGCAGAGCCCAGGCGGCTGGCAGGGGATAAACCAAAGCGGCTAGCAAAGAAAAAGCTTCCCCCTAACAAAATGGTGTCAGGAGTGGGATCATGAATTTCCACGCAGAATGGCAAAAGCTTTAAAGGAATTTTAGAAACAGAAGAACAGAGAGAAGCACAGATTTTGGTAGCAGCATTTTTCTCAGGTGTGCTCTGTTTTGCTAACCACAAGCCGAGATTCACGTGGCTCGTTTACCGGAGTCTTCCTGACTCGGCATAAAAAGAAAAAAAAGCCAGCAAGGTTGTTTTAAGAGACTCTGCTAATGATTAAAAGGTGTGTACGTACAGCTGGAAGTGGCAGCTTTTGCTGGATGTCAGCATGGACTGAGGCGGTAAGCTGGAATCACGCTTACGCCCGCCATCTTGACGAAAAACCGGCAGTTTAAAACAGCCGCGGTTTTACAGATAAGACACGTGGCCAGGAAAACATAAAGATTTACAGTAAAGTCAGACTTGGATAAAGAAAAACCTCTAAAGGTTTACAGTGTGTTTAAAAATATACGTGAGATTGAGAGAGAAAATGAAACAACAAAGTGGTAAATAAATAAAAAAGCCGGCGTTGTGGCGCACGCCGGTAGGATTTACTCCAGAGGCAGAGGCAGGCGGATTTCCAAAGAGAAACCCTGTCTCAGAGAAAAATAAAAGTAAGAGAAATAAAGTAATAATAGATAAATAAATAAGCCACGTAAAGATGGAAAATACACAGAGAGTCTGGATACTGTACGCTATTGTGTTGTTCAGTTTTTTTCTTGCTCAAGAAGGAACTGCTACTAAAGTACACTTGATTATAAATGCTGCTAAATTAATCCAACTTATATCTTTTGAAAATGCCTTGACTTCAAAATTTAAGTACAAGGATATGTTACTTGGAAAAGGAGTTTTTATTTATGTTTCTACAGAAAATGAAAAGCTGAGGATTCCTTCCAGGCTTCTGTGGTTCGACGAACCAAGACCCCCGGAAGCAGTGGATCAGATGTTCCAACAATTGAAACAGCTAAGATGATGCAGTTTTACAGACCCCGAAAATATGGATTTATACAGGTTTCTGAGTTTTGTCATGATCCCCATGGTATAAACAGCGCCCCCTTCCAGCATGAAGCAGTTTGGAATGAGCGACGTCCTAATTCCCATCTTGTTTATAAATCTTTGTTTTCATTTAAATGGGATTGTTTATAATTGGTTAATGATCACAACCAATCTCCTTTTAATGGTAAAAAGGGGAATTATGGTATGGGTATTGTTTTTCATTTATTGATACAAATTCAAGGTCAATTTTGTGATGTGTATATTTCTCCTCTTGATTAAGTATTGTGCTTATACTGATCTTTTAAAACATAATGCATAATTAAATACAGACTATAGATAGTTACTTAGAATTTATAGTTAGGTAAGTTAGGTTTTCTAGATATACAGAAATATATTTAAGATAGATAGTCTTCAAACCTCTCAAAGACCTTCAGAAAATAGCATTTAAAATGGTTTAGGGTTTTTCTTGACAATGAGAAATGTCTGCTCCTGGCAGCACCAATTATGTCTGAGAGGAAAATGGGCATCGAAGAAACTCGTTATGGAGTTTGCTTTCAACATGGCAAGATTAGCCATTTGGGCAAGAAACTGCTCTTGCCTAGACTGACTGTTGTTGTATAATCTGGACATGCAGAACCCACAGGAAAGTGACTGTTGAACGCAGTCTTACAGGGTTCCTGCTTCATGGAAGAGTCTACGGGACTTTCTGCAGGACACAGAAAAATGACTGACAGACTGCTGATACAGATGGACAGTTTTGAAATTTCCTGCTTGGCTGAGAAATCTTCTGGATACATTGTGGCCTATGGGCTGAAGATGGATGTCCCAACGTTACAGAGGAACTTTGGGTGACTGTCCAGGTAGCAAGATGTCTCTGTCAATCCTAGTGTTTATATATTATCCTTCTGTGGTCTTTGATGGAGTTGAAGACAGATAGTTATAATTATAGTTTTCCTCAGTTATGATAAAAGATAAGCTACATATAGGACTTTGGACTCACAAGGATGGGATGGATGATAATTTCTTTAGATCTTGCTAAATGTTAATAGACAAAATGTTGTAACTGTGTTCTTACTTGATAACTGTTCTGTTATACACAATTTGACTGTGTTAAAGTTAAGACCTTTCTTTTTGTTTAAACAGAAAAGAGGAGATGTTGGGGAAGTCCTGTGTATATGTCAATAAATTACTGCTGGCCAATAGGAATCTAGATAGGTGGGGCTAGGAGTCCAGGAGGATTCTGGGAAGGAGAAACAGAGGAGTCGACATGTAACCGCATGGGGTAGGAAGCCCGGAACTATTCTACGGTAAGAGACATACTTAGATTAACAATTATGGGGTAATTACTTAAGGCAGAGCTAGCCAGTAAGAGACAAGCAAGGCCAACAGCTTCATAATGAATATAGCCTCCTGTGTGTTTATTTGGGGACTACAGTGCAGCAGAGCCCAGGCGGCTGGCAGGGGATAAACCAAAGCGGCTAGCAAAGAAAAAGCTTCCCCTAACACTTATGAACCAGGGTCCAACCCAGAGTCTCATCCAAAGAACATGTTCTTGCAGGACATCAGACAGTGCCTCCACCTCTCTCAACCCAAATATTTTCCCTAAGAAGCTGTGTGTCCATCTGGGGACTCTTGTATTGGGCAGGTACGTGTGACACCATGGCGCAGACTTAGATAAAAAGTGGGAAAGAGACAACTGGCCAAAGGCAACAGAGTGCAGGATACAGAAGAATCCTGTCCAATAGAATCACAAAACATTTCTTGACCCTCCATAGCATCTTCATCATTTTGGTAGGGAATAGGGAGGTGGTTATGTAGCAGATAGAAAATCTGGTTTTATAGGTATAGGAGAGAGTGACTTAGACAATGCTGACACCACACCAGAAGGCCAGAGAATCCCCACACAAATTTGAAGATAGGTCTTGATTGTGAAAGGGCCAGAGTTCATTCTATGAATGAGTTTTTACTTCATTTACAAATGTTGTAGCTGGGACTCTATCATATACTTGGTGCAAACTTGTCTTGGGGACAAGAAAGTACCTTCTGAATACTAAAGTGACAAGAAAAGAGATTGTGCCCACAGAAAGAATAGGCATCTTCCAGATACAGATGCTGAGACTTACCAGGCTGGGGTGTTGACGCAGTGACAGCATCTGTAAGAAAGAAGGGTAATTAGATACCTAGCACAGAACCCCACCTGGAGGGACAAGTGGGACAGAGTTGATGTTTTGACAGAAAGAGCTCATATTCTGCACATCCCCGTTGTAACCTGAATCCTAGATACAGTCATAGAGTCCAAACCTAAACCCCCAATTGAGGTCTGGATCTCAGTACCTAGAACTTATTATCTGGAATAAGAAAGTAATAGGTACCCCTGAAACAGGTAACAAAATTATTTTCATTGCCATGTAGGTAATCAGCCAGTCTCAGTGATGAGCTGTTGAAGACCCTCATGTTATGAGATTACTATCGGAAAACTATGGTCCACCTTGCTTGTGGGCCAACATGTATTTTTCATGGCTGGCTCTCAAAACAACGTATATTACCACCCTGCCATAACTATACCTCACTCCCTCTTCATTGTTTCTGCCAGTGATAGTAAATGAGTCATTGAGTTTAGATTAGGTACTGGACTGATGTAAACTGAGTAGAGCTAACCAGAAGTGTCTATGACATGAAGGAGAGTGGAAAGGTACACCAAATCTGTTCTCCAAAGACTCTACCTCTGGGAAGGAATTCAGGACCACAGGGATTTGAGTCAAGTAGATGTTCCTCACCTACAAGAATGGCTTATTATGTTTATCCTTGGGTTCCTTGATGCTATATATTGAAAAGACTACCCATGTACTTCCAAACAAAATAGTGCTGCTTAAAGGAGCCTATGAGTGATGATACTGCTATTTATTCAAGTTAGGAACCTAACTTGGTACCTCCAGGGTCCCCTGACCCAAGGAAAATCTAGATGTCCAAAACAGAAGTGAGTTATACACAGGGCTGTGAGTGAGAAAAATGAAACAGTACAGAATGTATCCCAGTATTGTTGGAGCACAAATGAAGTCCTGTGGACAGGAATAAGTGGTCTAGCAAAACCCCATTGTTGGCAACAAAATCTAATAGTCCCTGGGTCATACCTGAGCAGATGACTCCAGCATCCTCCTGGTGTCCACAGTTATGGGAAAGCCAGCCTCGGTGGGAGCAGCTCCACAGATTGTACTCATATCCTGTACAGGCCACATCATCCAGGACAATGGGCCCTGAGCCCTGTCCAAACAAGGCATTTTGTGGGGCAGACACGGCCCAGCCACAGCCCAGCTGCCTGCACACCACGTTGGCATCATTGATGTCCCAGCTATCGTCACACACGGTGCCCCAGGAACCCTGGTAAAGGATCTCCACGCGGCCCTGACACCTGTCTCCTCCATTCACCAGCCTCAGAGCCAAACCAGGAACTGATCCTGAAAGACAAGGTGGATTATCCTTTGCTGGTCCTGTGTGGACGATGGAGCTTGTGCAGTCATGAGCAGCTCTTTCAAGGGGTTTAATGCAATATGTAATGCAAAGTCCTCCCACTCTTGCTTCTTGGGCACCCTGTCTTGCAAAGACCTTTACCCCTGTCACTTTGCCTTCACACCCTCATTGGAGTGCTCACTACTTCATTTCTACACATCAAAGGTGACGTTGTCACCAGGACGGGTAGGTTTCCACGAAGAGTGTGCACAGGGGTTGAATCTGCCCTGGATGGTGGCCAAGTACCTACTCCATCTCGTAACTAAGGCCTTTGCGGGCCATGCACTCTTCTGGATGACAACACACACTGCAGAATGCAGGTATTTCAAGGAGGGAGAGTAAGAAGAGCCCTCCATCTCCTGACACACAGACTGCACATGGGCAATCCAGACCCACCCTGACCCACACCTGCCATCAGTAAAGGAGAAGGTAAAGGAGGTTGCTCTGTGATAGACCAAAAGGACAGAATGATGAGCTCCCTGGCAGAAGAGAAGTTCAAGGGTCCCTGGAAAAGGTTGTCACCAGCTGCTTACCCAGTTGAGAGTTTATACCAGAACTGCATTTTAAGGCCCAACAGAAATATAGAAAGCAAAAATACAAACTATTGTTCATCCCATTATCTGGGTCAGGTGACCACCTCCATGAGCTCACTTTCTGTGTACAATAAATAACAACACGGTAGAGAACCCCAGGCTTTCTCATTGCTGGTCACCAAGACCACTGATGTGAACTTGTCGCTGTAGTCAAGGTTCAAGTACCCAACATGTTTAAATGAGACAAAGGGGTTTTCACTAGGCTAAGCCTCTTGCTCTCTAGACAGGGCACCCCTTTGAAGGGACTCAGAATGGGATCCCATAAGATATCATCACTCTCATTTTGCCACAGAAACCTCTCTAGAAACTTACCTTATCTTGATGCTCTAACCCCAACGCCTCTTCTGACACAATACTAAATCTAGAGATCATGGAATTTGAATCCTCCCCCCAGTGACTGACTCCTCCACACACAAAGAAATGGGCAGTGATAGGGATTCCAGCGGAGGAAAACCCCATGGATCAGGAGGCAATCCCACCCAACACCTTAAGTGCCCCAAGATGTCAACACCATGAATGACACTGGCACTGCAAATTGCACAGAGAGGTTTAGACAATTTTTGCTACCTGTTGGTATATGAGACACTGGGAAGGTTGACTCTGCAGTGGTAGTAGGCTCTGGAGTGGTGTAGGGCTCTGCAGTGGTCGCCTCTGCAATCCATATGTAGATTAGAGAAGAAAATGGAAAATACAAAGTTAATTCTCTATTAATAAAAACCAAGACATGCAAGTGCAGTTAAATCTGCTGATGGGGTGTGATTCAGGGTCTGTACTGAGTGATGCTATGTGATTTGAGATGCACAAGAAATATCTATGGCTCCTGCCTGGATGGGAACCGCAGTGAGTAAGTCCCCAGGCCTCAGGTGGTTCAGCACAGGCAAATGGATAGAACTAGAAGAAACCATCCTGAGCGAGGTAACCCAGTCACAAAAAGACAAACATGGTACGTACTCACTCATATATGAATTAGACACAGAGCAAAGGAGCACAAGCCTACAATCCACATGGCCAGAGAAGGTAGGAAACAAGGAGGACGCTACGAGAGACAGACATACACGGTCCCCCCAGAGAAAGGAAAAGGGACAAGATCTCCTGAGCTAATTGGGAACATGGGGTAGGGGAGAGGGAGTTAGAAGAAAGAGAAGGGAGAAGAGGAGGGGAGAGGAGGACAGGAGAGAGCAGGATGATCGAGTCAGGGGAAGAATAGAGGAGAGCAAGAAAAGAGATACCATAAGAGAGGGAGCCATTATAGGTTTAAAGAGAAATCTGGCACTGGGGAAATGTCCAGAGATCTACAAGGTTGACAACACCTAGTAATCTAAGCAATAGTAGAGAGACTTCCTTAAATGCCCTTCTCTGATAATGAGATTGATGACTACCTTATGTATCATCCTAGAGCCTTCATCCAGTGGCTGATGGAAGCAGAAGCAGACACCCACAGCTAAACACTGAGCTGAACTCTGGAATCCAGTAGCAGAAAGGGAGGGATGATGAGCAAAGGGGTCAAGACCAGGCTGGAGAAACCCACAGAAACAGCTGACCTGACCAAAGGGGAGCTCACAGACCCCAGACTGATAGCTGGGAAACCAGCATAGGACTGTTCCAGACCCCCTGAAGGAATATGTCCGTTTGGAGGTCTGGTTAATCTATGGGGCCTCTGGTAGTGGGTCAGTATTTATCCCTAGTACACGAATGGACTTGGGAGGCCACTCCACATAGAGGGATACTCTCTCAGCCTAGACACATGGGGGAGGGTCTAGGCCCTGCTCCAAATGATATGACAGACTTTGAAGATCCCCCATGGGGAGCAGAAAGGGGATGGGATAGGGGGTCAGTGGGGGGCAAGGGAGGAGAGGAGGGAGAGGGAACTGGGATTGACATGTAAAAGAAGTTTGTTTCTAATTTAAATATTAAAAAATGGAAAAAATAAACCAAAAATGAAATCTCTATGGTCCTGAGTTCTCCCATTCTAAAAGGCATTTTTGTTGAAATGCTGTTAAGCTACAGACCCTAACTCTCATGCCTATATTTGGCTTCTGGTGAATTCTCGGAAATAAGTACAAAAGTGTTTCCCATACTTAAAAAACTAATACATTATTCTTATCCAATTGCATTGACCGATAAACCCAATATGATATTCACTAGCAGAGGGCTAGTACACCTGTTTGCCTTGTTTTGTATGTGAATATCTTTTTTAAATTCAACATCTCTGTATATACCCTAGGCTACACTGAAACTCAACATCCTTCTAACTCAGCCTCCTGAGTACTAGAATTGTGTGTGTGTGTGTGTATGTGTGTGTGTGTGTGTGTGTGTGTGTGTGTATGACAATGCCTAGGTCAAACTCTTTTTTTACTTGAGTGGAAATGCTTTAAATATGTGCAAATTGTTCAAAATGTTCTCTGGCTCTTGCTCAGCCCACCTTCAAAGGGTGTCATGGTCCTGTAGCTTAGAATGGAGATATCTGGGGATGAACCCACTGCTACCAAATACCCAGCTTCTATCTGAGTGATCTGGGTATGAAGGAAGTTGACCTCTTCCCACACAATAGGTCCTGATACAAGCAGCTCTAGGAAAGTGCTCTCCTGCAGGACTGTGTCAAAGTCTTGCCCAGCCTTCTTTTGCCTTCAATCTGGCTGATACAGATGCACCATACTGCCTATCAAGCCTCAAGAAGTTTCTGCCATCTAAGAGTGTCCTGTAAGGCTACCAACACAGAGAAGAAGATGGATTTTCCCTGTATAGTTGTTAGAAAATAATAAGAGGTAGAATATGGCTAAGTGAGAATAAAGCCAGTCTCATTCTTGTGATGCCCACGTGCTTAAGGAAGAGAAATGCCTGGCCTACGGGCCATTTAGAATCCCAAGAAATTCTGGGCTGGCCAGATGCCTTGGTGTGGAGATTGCTCTTGCTCATGACCTAGGATCAAAGAATTCCATGGAGAAAAGGAAGTGATTTCCCTATAGAGTCTCAACTGTTCTGATGTGCTGCCAACATCTCTCACTGGGGAACTCAAAGAGGAAGGACAAGATCTGTTTTGTCCAGGGTGGAGAATCAGGGCTTCCATGGGAGCTTTCTATAACCTCAGAGGGAAGGAAATGACAAAGGTGCTGGTTAAGCAGACTGTGTCTTCCTCTCCAGGAACCAAATCCACAGTCAGCTGCCTAGGCTGCCCAAGGAGCAGTGTGAAACATGGGAACCATTTAGCTCTGAGAATAGTCAACAAACTCCTAGCAACAAGACCACCTTGGACCTTTTGGAGATACCTCTTCAGGATGATCCCCACTGACATCTCAGGGACATAGTCCAAGGCATATATGCCCATGCAGGCTTGAAGTCTTATTGATAAATTTCCCCTGGAACTTGGGACCCACATACTCTGCTTTCTGCCCATCTCCTGGATCAGAGGTGAGTCTTGGGTTCTGGGGATAATAACGTCACAAAATTACCACATAATACATGTTACCTTCTGTGGGTACTGTCGTAGTTTCTTCATAGATAACATCTGCAAAATGAGAAAGGAAGAAGTCATTGGATGTTGGTCCTCATTGGAATCTCAAAAGCTGGAGCTGGCATCTCAGATGCTAAAGCCTTCCATCACTAAAATTATGTGACTTTTCCTTGTAGAATCTGATACTGGCCTTTTGTTACTTTGACACTGAGATGTCACCAGGAGCATTTTTTTGTCCCTTACCCTGATTCATCTCCTCTGCTTCTACTCAATTCCAACTACCAGCCAGTTCACTCACAGCCCCAATGAAGGCACAAGATAGGAAACAGTCAGATGACATTTGAATTCAAAAGGCATTTGGCTGTTTCTGTAGTTCAAACACAACCTCTCATTATAAACATTGCCATCACTAAAATATTCCCGAGAAGGTGGCCCCAACCAGAAAAAGAGGGGACTTCCAGATATTATTCCAGAATGGCAGAATAAGCCTGCTTACAAAATGGCCACTTGAAGGAACACACTACCTCAGGCACAATTCTCAGGTGGGGTTTGGATCACCATAGTCACACAATGCTTGTTGTGATGTGTGCACAGTCCCGGTGGTCACAAAACCACTGCCTATCGATTGCCAAACTAGCAAATCCTCTTGGGGATACACAGTGGACTGATTTACTGGGTGGTTTCTTTGTAGATTTAAAGGATGCCTTGGTATTTTAATTGTTACCAGCATCATATAATCAATGAGATATCACGTCTTGGAAGCCGGGCGGTGGTGGCGCACACCTTTAATCCCAGCACTCAGGAGGCAGAGGCAGGTGGATCTCTGTGAGTTCGAGACCAGCCTGGTCTACCAAGCGAGTTCCAGGACAGGCTCCAAAACAATACAGAGAAACCCTGTCTTGAAAAAAAATGAGATATCATGTCTTGGGATTTGTTTGGTTGGTTCAGGGAGAATTTGTCATCCCCCTGTTAGTGTGTTTCTTTATTGTAATTTAATACCCAATAAAGAGAACATATTGGCTACTCTTTGCTTTGAATTTGGTTTGGACATTTAGGTAAAGGACCAGCAGTTGCCTCATGAGCTACTGCCTTTAAAGAAAGAGAAACTGCCCTTTAGGTCAAGGATGATCTTGATGCCACCCATCAGAGTGGTGGAATCAGAGAGCTCTGATGAGATAAAGCCTGTCTACACCACTTCCCAGCCTGTGACACTCTGAGCCTCAGTGTCTTCATCTATGAAGAGAGACTGGTATATGCAGCCTCTAATTAAGGCATGACGTCAATTAAGGCATGACACACAGCAAAGCAAGTAAGCAGCCACGTGCTGTGCACATACAAGCACACATGCACACGCACACACAGAAGCATGGTGTTGCCTAAGCGTGTGCATGCAATGGCTAGAAGCAAGCGCGGCGCTACCTGAACACACGACTCCAGCGTCTTCCCTGTGGCCACAGTCATGGTTGTACCACCCATCATGCTGACAGCTGGACAGGTAGGGTTCCTGCCCTGAGCAGTACACAGCTCCCATGAGAATGTCCCCTGAGCCCTGACCAAAGCGGGCCCCTCCAGGTGCTGACACAGAATGGCCACAGCCGAGCTGCCGACAGACGACATCTGCATCCTGGGTATCCCAGCTGTCATCACACACGGTGCCCCAGTAGCCTTGGTACAGGACCTCCACCCGGCCCTGACACCGGTGATCGCCATTCACAAGCCTCAGAGGTAAACCTGCATTGACACAGCGGGAACTACTCTCTTGGCATGCTGTGCCCTGCACCGGCACAACGGTGTTCTGACTTCCAGCGCCATATTACTTGCCATTCCTGCCCTGGGCCCTAAATAGTACCTTCTTCATAGTCTCCCCACTCTGTTGTACCCCACATTCTCTGAAAACTTCCCAGACAAGGGACCCTTAAAGTCACCACTTTAAGCCTAATTTAACCCCAACAGTCCAAGTGCAGAACTCTAGACCCACATTCCATCAGCTTCCAGGATATCCATGTCTATAACTCTAAATTCAGTCTTCATCCTCCATTGTGATCCATGATGCCACCCTGTGCCAGTGTGCTGGGAATGTGAACATCAAGTTACATGCCGCTCTCTTTCCACCTCTCCACCCAGCTCTCACCACTATCCTCCTGACCCCACCCTGCTCTGGGACCTCTCCATCCAACTCTGCCTCTGCCCAGGTCTTATCTAATGCTTGCTGATCAGTGCCCCAGCCAGACTGTCTGAAGGCATGCTTCAAGCCCATTGCTATCTTAAGGGCTCACCTCTGTTCCCTGATTGGTCCTTGAATTTCATCCTCACAAAGTACATGCATATTTTAGTTACTTCCATGCCCAAAGTGCTTCAGCATTTGCCAGGAATGATGGCATACACCTTTAATCCCAGCACTTGGGTGGCAGGACCAGGTAGATTTCTGCTGGCTGAAGTTTAGTATTGTCTACATAAGGAGTTCCAGTTCAGCCAGGGATACATAGTGAGATACTCTCTCTCTCTCTCTCTCTCTCTCTCTCTCTCTCTCTCTCTCTCTCTCTCTCTCTCTCTCTCTCTCTCTCTCTCTCTCTCTCTATCACACACACACACACAGAGAGACAGACAGACAGACAGAGAGAGAGAGAGAGAGAGAGAGAGAGAGAGAGAGAGAGAGAGAGAGCTGGGGTTCTCACCATGTAGCTCTGACTGAACTAGAATTCCTTATGTAAACAATATTTAACTTGAACTTGCAGGAAACTACCTGGTTCTGTCTTCAGAGTGCTGGGATTAAAGGTGTATGTCATCATTCTTGGCAAATGCTAAAGCACTTTGAGCATGGAAGTAACTAAAATATATATATACTTTGTCAGGATGAAATTCAAGGACCAACCAAGGAACAGAGGTGAGTCCTTAGGACAGCAATGTACACACCTAATTGGGGGGAAAATGGTCTGATGTAGTCTGTCCTGGGTTCTAATTCTGCCTTCCCATTTTCAGCCACAGAATTGTAGACATGCGAGTATTGACAAATTATCTTAGTATGTCTTTTTTTCCCATTTACGAAATGGGATTAATGATACTTACTTCAAAACGTTGGGAAGATTTCATGATAATAGCCCATATTATCTGTATTATCTGAGCATGGATTATGTGAGATATTTTAATTGTTGAAAGATTTGTTTTATATTTAATTATGTGCATGGGTATGTGTCTGTGTGCACATCAGTACAGGTACCCATAGAGGCCAGAAAAGGGTGTCAGAGCCTCTCGGGTTGGAGTTGTAGATGGTTATAAACTGCAAAATCTGGGTGCTTAAAACTATTCTGGGCAGTGGTGGTGGAAGCCTTTAATCCCAGCACTCTGCAGACAGAGCTAGGGGGTCTCTGTGAGTTTAAAGTCAGCCTGGTCTACAGAGCAAGTTTCAGGACAGCCAGAGCTACACAGAGAAACTCCGTCTCAAGAAAAAGAAGGAGGAGGAGGAAGAGGAGGAGGAGGAGGAAGAGGAGGAGGAGGAGAAGAAGAAGAGGAGGAGGAGGAGGAAGAGGAAGAAGAAGAGGAAGAGGAGGAGGAGGAAGAGGAGGAGGAGGAAGAGAAGAAGGAGGAAGAGGAGAAGGAGGGCACAACCTGGGTCTTCTACAAGAACAGTGTGTGCTCTTAATGACTGGTCATCTCTCCAGCCTCTACTTTAAATTTTGTTGAGTTCTTTCATACATGAAAATGATTTGGGTTGGAGTACAAAACAAGTTATCTGGCTTCTGGTGGTATTTACCTTTGCAAGAATGGCTATCATTATACAAAGGAAGAAACAGTGATTTTTTCCAACTAGCTTTTCTGATACTAGGCTAAAGCCAATTTCACCCATCAAGTGACTGAGGAGCAGGAAAAGGAAGGAAAGGGAAGGACAGGGATTGGTGGAGTATGCCCAGCTGCTTCACACCTGTCTCTCATCTTGACTCCATCCCTGAATTCTGTGCCCAAAGTTGCAGTTGGATCCCATCAGACAGCAGCAGCAGGGTTGGCCATCTTGTGAGTTAGCTCCACTGTCAACTTAGCACAACTGAGTCATTTGAAAGAGTCTCAAGTGCTGGGTTTGTCTAAGTCACATTTGCTTATGGCCATGTCTGTGGGAAATTGTCTTGGCAGATAATTGAGGGGGACTGCCAGCCCACTGCCCTGGGCATGTGAGCCGTGCTGTATAAAAAATGCTAGCTAAGCATGAACCAGAAAGCCAGTAAGCAGGGTTTCTCCATGGCCTCTGCATCAGTTCTTTCTTCCAGGTTCCTGCCTCGTGATCCTGCCCTAGTTTCACTGGACGATGGACTAAAACCTGTAAGCCAAATAAATGCTTCCTCCTCCAAGTTGCTTATGGTCAGTGTTTTATCACAGCAACAGAAAGCAAACTAGACCCCCAACCCAATGAGTAGCCTGAAGTCAGAGACTAAGGGCAAAGGAGAAGGACTTACCATTAAATGTTGGGTCTAGATTCGGCCAACCTTAAGAAAGATAAAACTCAGTTTAGAAAAGGATCCACTGTTTAGGAATAGTCTACTGGTTACAAAATTAGCCTCAACTGCACTGTCCATTCCTGCTGGGCAGAGGGGGTGGGGGATTTGTGGTTCAGTCTTGGCTATGTGCACTGCCCAAGGTCTTGATCAAAATGGTGTTTTGTAAAAAGATATAAAAGAAAGTGGGTTGGAGATAAAGTATGCATCATTTCAGATATGATAAAGAAGAATTGGGCATGGTTGCACACTCCTGGAATCCCAGAACTCTGGACCTAGGCTACATGGGCCTTAAAAGTAAATAAATAGATAATCAAGCAAAATATGTGCCTACTTTCTTGTTGTTTTGAAGTCTTAGCAAACTAATGGCCTTACAACCTTGCTAATACTCAAGTCTTATTAGTCTTGGGCCAAGCAGTTTTCCCAAAGTATGGAGGAAGGAGGTTATCCTTTCATATCATCTTCCAAAGCACATATCCCAAAGCTACTCTGGGTCTCCAAGTCAGATTCTCTAGAGGGAAGGACATGAATCCCGAGACCTGCTCTCATATATTCTATTAGATTGTGACAAACACTGAAATTTGAGGCAAGGGCAACATCAGATTGAGACTGTGACTGTATTACCACATGACTCTTTATGTCCTAGCTGGCAGAAGTTTCTGTTGTCATTACAAGTCTAGATGGGACCCAGAATATTTAATGAAACCTCATATCATTCACTACCATTTAGTGAGGCAGTGATTATTATGGCACAGAGGGAAACTCTAAACTGATACAAGCCCATCTTTTCAAAGTACTTACCAGATGTGGCATACCTTGAGGGAGAAACTGTAAGGGAATAAAAACAAATTCAGATGTGTGTTTCACCCACAGGGATCCTGGAAAAACCTACCTGGGAAGCAATAGCACCAATTCTTACACATTGATCAACCAGGAACACCCGAGGTCAAGTTCACCAACCCCTGAACAGAAAGCTTTTACATCTCTGCTGTATGGGCTTCCCCAAAGCCAAACATCTAACATTGAGGTTCCATTTTCCTTGGTCAAAAGAGCAAACAGTCTTAGTAGATTCCAATCAGCACTTTGTATCAATGGATTCCTTTACAGATTTTTCCCACAGGCAGTGAGAAAGAAACACGGGTGTCTGTACTAAGCATACAGAGACGTCCATTCTTGTCCTCCTCCTAGGAGCAATGCGACACAGCAATGACTAACACAGCCTTGATATTCTATCAGGTGCTATGTCTGGGGATGACTGAAGGATGCAGGAGGACATGTGTATGTCACACACCAGTTTATATAAAGACTTGAGGATGAGGGGTGGGTATGAGAACAAGGGAGTTCTTAGAGCCATCCTCCTATGGAGATCAAAAGATAACTGCTCAGAATGTAGCTAATATTGTTCCTGGGCTAGCATATGTGTATATGTCTGTATGTGTATGCATTTATTATGGTAACAGCAGGTTTGCTCAGGTCTGGCAGGAGGTATGAGGTGGGACTGCTCATAGTTGCATCCTCTGACCTGCTTGTTGAAATACATCCTTGTGAGCTAGGCACCCTGTTAGGCTCTTGGTACATGTGCCAAACTTGGCATTAAATGAGTGAGGTGTGTTCCCTACCCTCCAGAGACTTCCAGCATAGTTAAGCCCCTGAAGACATCAGCAGACAGTCTTGTACGGGGGACAAGTGATGTAGAGATGTGGTTGAAGAATATGAATAGTCACTGGATGACATACAGTGTATGTGTGTGACAGTGTGTAATGTCCATATCTGTCTCTATGTGTCTGTCTAGAATTGTATTTGTCAGTGTGTCGTGTGTGTGTAAGTGTGTGTGTGTGTGATGTGCAACAATTTGTCTCTGTGTCATATCTGTCTATGATATACTTGTTTGCATGTGAGAATATATGGCTATGTGTTTCTGTGTCTGTATTTCTCTGTATGTTTCTGTCCATGCAAGTATCTATGTATGTATGGTTTTATCTCTCTCTGTGTGTGTATGTATGTGTCATGTGTGTGTGTGTGTGTGTGTGTGTGTTTCTAAGTATATTGAGTATAAATCAGGAAAGGTCTTCTAGAGGGACAATGTCCTGGTCTTTAGAAAGAGCAGTTACAACAAGCTGGTAAAGGAGAGGGCAAAATAGACTGGCTCTGGAGACCAGAGCACTGACTGTACCTACAGGTGGCGCTGTTGGGGTGTGGACGGTAGCAAGCATGGCTTTGTACAGTGAGTGAACTGCAGAACCCTTTATGGTAAGGACAATAAATAAAACCAGGAGGTATCCCCGCACTTGTGGGGCTGAGGCTAAGGAATTAGTACTTGAAGGCCAGCAGCCAGGGTCATGCAGACAGACATGTCTCAGTGAAACAAGCAATGTAGAAAACAGCAAGAACATGGAGGAGCTGAAATACAAACAGATGTCAGCCTGCAGTGGCAGAGACACAAAGATACAGGAGACAGTGTGGGACCATGAGGTGCCAGCCTGCAGCTGGAGTCAGTATCATGGTGAAGCCTCAGGCCCCCCAAGTTTAACAGCATTCAGCAGTGGGGTTCTATATGCCCAGTGGTGTGTTCATTCAGCGATGATGACATTGAAAAGGGATAGCTGTAACATCCCAGGGCCCTAATGTCAGCAACTCAGAGAAGCCTCCCCAATCAGACCACTCTCGGTGCCTGGAAGGCCTCGTTCACATTTCCCCTGCCTTTCCAAGGAGGTAGGCTAAGTACAAATGAGGAATCTGCCAGGAATGCATTCATAAGCAGCTCCCTCGTTCCATAAAAACATGACTGTGCAGAAATGGGAACAAAGGAGGTGGAATTTAAAAGGTGTTTTGTTTGAATGTTTGTTTTTGTTTTGTTTTAGCTAATTTTAGGTTTAAAAGAACACAGGAACAATCCCACCGAGTTCCCATAGGTCACTTACTCTCTCCCCCTGCCCAACTATAGCAGCTGCATCTCACGGTGCATTTGTCACAACTGACAACCCAGTGCAGTGCCCTCCTTCTGACTCCTGGCTGAGTCTTATTTGGATTATTGCCAAATCTCCTCTTCTGGGAGATATTCCGAGATCCATACTACCCTAAAGAAGTCACATTAATACACAACATTAGGGAAATGCCTAGAATAGGACACAGACCATACTGAGGCTTATTCCACCTGATAGCCCTTCCTGGGTGACCTTACTCCTTGATATGCCTTTGTATAACAAAGAACATTGCCCCATTTGCAAATGAGTAAACTGAGGTCAGTGCAGCAGTTAGGCTGTGGCACCACAGCTGTCCCACAGGTGTTCTTGGCTGTGCCACTGAGCGGCAGAGGTGCCACAGCGTGAGCTGTGCACCCGACTTTGTACAAAGACAGCACTGAGATCACCCATGCAGCAGATTCAGCCCCCTCTGCTCCCTGCCTGGGGAGGCCATGGCTTCACCCACCATAGCTGCTACTGAGATGCCAACACACCAGGTTCTACTCCAGGCTCAACGTCTGACTCAGCTGCCAGATAGCTGAACTCCTAAGCCTTAGTGTCCCCCAGATGATGATTCCTAACTTTGGGATGTTACCAGGCTTGAGTTAGAGAAGCTCATGTGGAAGAGGGTCAGCTCCGCTCTGTATGTTGAAGCCACAAGCTTGCATGAACATGCATGCATGCATGCACATATGAATGGCTGTACATAAGCATACATGTAGCATCACGTTAAAGGGCCAAAATCCCCAGCCTCATACTGTTACTGCCTTTGTTTCTTTGTGGCTAGAACAAGGACATTACTTTTCTGTTCTCCAGGTCTGTAGTGATTCCAGGTCACTGGGCAGGGACAGAGTCACTCTGTCACCCTGAAAGCTGTCTCTGCCTCCCATTTCACACTCTCCAAGAAGACAGCCTGTCAAGTCCTAGGCTGTCTCGGTCTAGAAGCCCTTGGTCAGTGGTGCAAGCCTGAGGATTTAGTCTTCGGATGATGCTATCATGAAAGTTACCCCAAATGAGTCTTTATCTTCAGCAGACCCTCACCCAGCCTGGAGAGACTGATCGCTATGGAATTCATCTGGCTATCTAGCAAAAACATGAAATCTAGCCGAAAGTGACATCAAAGGAGGGGGGAAAGGGGGAGGGTATGTGAAGAAGAAATAAAGGAAGGAAGGGAAGGAGAACAAGGGAAGCTACAAGAATGGAGACAAAGGAGGGAAGGAAGGAAGGAAGGAAGGAAGGAAGGAAGGAAGGAAGAAAGGAAGGAAGGACTATGAGGACATGAAGAGATAAGATAACCAGGAATGGGGAAGGTAGGGGAGGAGAGAGAGACAGAAAAGAGAGATGGGCACAGACAGACAGACAGAAGACAAACAGACAGAGAGCAGACAGAGAGTGGGGGAGGGAGGGAGGGAGAGAGAGAGAGAGAGAGAGAGAGAGAGAGTAGACAGGCTTGTCCTCTGTGAGATGACAGTAACACAACCATGCCAAGGACTGGCCAGTTAAGTCTTCCTTGCTCCTAATTTGACACTCTGAAAACATGAAGCAGTGCTGGAGTGACTGAGTGCATGTAAGTGACTAACACAGTGACACCATCCTGTCAGTCACTTGACCAAGCATTGCTTGACAAATATTGATCACAGAGCCAGACATGCAAGAGAGAAGGCACGTGCAGAACGTTGTCAGAGGACCGTCTCTGTCCGTTTTCACAGCACACTGCCTGTGTATTTAGCAAGGGCTAAGGCCTCCTTCTAACGCCAAAAGCCTTTCCAGAGCCTGGGGACTTGTAAGCAGAGGCAGTCATTCCCTTCATTGAGTGACTCCCTGAAAACATCAACAGAGCAGCGGCTTTTTCTCACTGTCACCATTTGTACCTCTGAGAGCACTGCTACATACTTGCAAGAATTTATACTTATTAGCAAATAACCTCCTTGAGATGGACAGTCACACAGCCATGGACAGACTCATCCAACCCGCCAGGACCTAGGTTTGCATGAATATAAGTAATGAGATAGAATACCTGTACAAAGAATTGAACCCCATAAAAGACATATTTCGAAGATGACCGTGGAGATCCCCATCGTGCAGCTTCCTCTAAATTTGAGTAGAAATTCCTTGATATTTATAAGCTCCTAGGTGGAAGGAGGCGTGCCCTCCTGGGTGGTATATTTCTATTGCTGCTATAAATCGATATGAAGGAAGTGAGGAACTTCGTTAACTGCCTGGTTAATCCATGGGAACAAGGTTAGGTGTGTTTGATTGATTGTGGTATGAACAATCTGGCTATTGCCCAATGCAGAAGCCTGACTTCAGTGATAAAACTTCCTTCTAGGTGAGCATCAAAGATTCCCAAATGGGTCCTTGAGAATGGCCTTGGTTTTCATCTTGGAGAGTCTGAAGGAAATTATGGGAAGCAGGATGTGGGCTGTTGGGCAAATAAGAGAAGTGGTGCCAAGGGGAAGGCATGTGTTTGGGGTGGTTTATACTGGCAGGCTGTCCTCCTCGTTGGCTTTGTGGGCACCGCCAAGGCTCGGAGCACTGAGAATGCCCTTGCTTACTGACAAGAGTGGAAGGTATGAGGGAGTGTCCCACCCAGACCATGCACCCGTGCTAGCTTCCACCAGATGGGCCACCAAGAGTTGAGTCTCCCAATGCTATCGCCCAAAAGCTGAGAAATGCATGACCTCAAACTGAACCACCCCCAACCATCTCACCCAGCTTTGATTTCTTGTCCTCAGCAATCACACTGTATGCAGCTCAGGCCTTGACAACAGTACACAACTTGTCCCTTGTTTCTGTCTCTCTTACACTCAATCCCCTTACTCAGGTTTGTGTGGTAAATGCCCCCCACTCTTTGGAACAACCCACTCTGCATCCCAGGATTCTTATAGACCCCCCAGTCTGAAAAGGTTGCTTGGCATTTGCAAGATACTTTCTGTGGTATAAAGTGGAAGCGGCCAGCTCAGCAGCATCGCCTGCTCCCTGGCCTGGTGAGTAGGGCCTTGCCTCCTAAGATCCCAGGGCACCTTGGCTCTTTCACTTTACACTGCTTCCCTGTGGTCTCTGTACTTGATTCTAGTGGGATGCTGAGAAGTCACCTTTAGGGGCTGAGAGTTTGCCTCTAATTTCATCCAAAGGCAGGCCACATTCCAGGCTTGACTTCTGTGCTGGCCAGGGTCTTCAGACCGTGGGGACACCTGTTTTAGGAAGGTCCTCACAAGGATAGCACTTGCCACCCATGTTAGACTTTGAAATCAAACTCACCACCGGACACTCAGATCATTGGAAGTCCAAGTGCACTAATTACACTGCTCAAATACTATTGGTATACCAGGAAATTTTAGTCATTGACAATGGAGGTGTATTTTGGCTTTAAAATTAGTCTGCATGTGAGACTAAATTATATCCCAATAGTTTGTTTGGGAGCAAAGAATAAGAACAAGGAAACTGAATGGCATCCAAGGACAACTCTTACCCAGATAAAGGAAACTGTCATGGAGCTCCTCAGGCAGTTTCTTCACAAAGAACTGTTCTGGGCACCTCTAATTGCTTGGTGTCACAACTGCCCCTCCAAATCATGAACATATGGTCCCAGGTAAGTTGGAGACATGGGAGAATTGACTAGGTCACCTCCAAGCCTGACATGCATAAGCACAACCACAACCAGTTCAGTTCATTCCTGTTGCATTCCAGTTGGGTAGAGAGTAGCATTCATTGACCTTTGGGGAGAAGTAAGAGGTGGGTCCATTTCCTCCATCAGAAGGCCTATGGGCCTGATGTTGGGACAGTGTCATCCAGAAGGGATGCCCAGCTAGAGGATCTCCTCTTCCCTTCAGTCATCACCTGGACCTGTGAGAGAGAGATGAACAGGAAACTAAGATGCCACCAGTACACATGACAGAATAAAACTACAGAAGTCACTGAGAAGCAGAACAGGATCAAGTGAACCCCAAGTCAGAGCTATCCTAGAGTCCAAAACTCAGCTTCCCAATTCTTGGAGGGTGGGATAGTATGCATCCTGAGGCAAACGGCAAGGCAATGCTGGGTTGAAATTGATCAAGACTGACTTCTAGTCTGGTGGACTAGACTACCCCAAAAGGTACATTGGTTGTAGGGCCTAAAAGAAGGAAGACTGTTTCCCTCTGAATGAACCACCCTACCCTGAGCATTTCTGCACTGAACCCCTGGCTTTCAAACAGTAAGCTCTGAACTACATACATCTGCTAAGAGCTTGTAGAACAAAAATCTAAGGCTGCCATGTAGGGCTTGAGTCAGAACCTTACTCAACATAGAGACTATCTACACTGAAGAGCACACAAGGAACCTTGTCAGTGTGCCAGATTCCTTTACATCTGGGGACACAGGGACAAGGGAGGCATGACCCTGAACTCCATGGGCCAGGCAGTCAGTGAACACAGGCCACTCCACAGATGACAGTTATGTTGGAAAAATAGGCACATGGGAAACGCAGGAGCCCAGAATGACCCCCCCAGCTGGGCTTTGAGTCACTGGAACCAACTAAAAGATGTCACCTATGACAGGGAACCCAGATGGAAGGTGGGAATTTGGAGAACAAGTATTCCCTGGGCCATGTCCCTTCCCTCAACCCTTCTTCCTCATGACAGTCCATCTAGTCTGCAGCTTCAGTGACCTTCAATAGACCCAAGATCTCTCCTCCAGACTTGTTCTCAAGTCCTTTGCAACCCACAGGCTACCTCCACCCTGTAAAAACTGTCCTGTAGATCTGGCTTGAAGAGGAGGGCCAGGGTCAAAGAAATACTGGAGCACTAACAAACAGTCAGTGGCTGCTAGGATTGGGCTACACAGAAGGGGCCCAGACCTACTCAACTGTGTCAGCTTCTAGGAGCGTGGAGAAATCAATACCTGATGGTTTGTCTGGAAGGTGGAAACAGAATGTTTGAAAATGTAGTGGAAAATAACACGAGTGGGACTGGGAGAAGGAGGAGCTGGTGACCGGGTGGGTGCGTGGGTACAAGGAAAATAAGGTGAGGTACAGGGACTTCTCCAGCTACGCAGTGAAGCCAAGGAAGAGAAGGTGAGACTGGGGTGTGGGAGTATGACTCAGGGTCACAATTCAAGAAAGGAAAAGTCAGGGGCACAGGAAGTCAGAGAGCTGGGGACTTTCACTGAAACATGCTTCAGGGCCATGTGAACTTCCTTCTTCCTACTAGATTCCAAAAACCTGCAAATATTCAAATAAATTCATTTCTGAGACCAACACAAGGATGTTAATTTTTATTTGGCAAACAGACTTCTTTAACGTCAGTTTTCATCCCCTCCATGTCATAAACCAATGGATATTTAGACAAAAAAAAAGAGGCAAGAATGATACAAGCTCAAGAGTAGAGGCCCAGCCTTGTGGACAAGTCATGGGTGACCTTGTTGGAGATGAGTAGCATAGGCTATTCCAAAAGGTCATAGCACAGCCCAGAGCCAGCCTCATTCTGATCAGCCCACCCTGGTTCTGTACCTCCATGCTTCCCCCTCTAAACCTTCCTAAATCCATCTGTGGGCACCTCAATGTATCTGCATAAAGACTGAACTCAGTGACTGCCCCCAAGCAGAGGCCATGTGTCCAGTCAGCCTGGACCATTAGAAACCCCTACTTCTAATCCAAGGGTTGTGAATGCCAGGGCCCCTTTCCCTCGCAAGGGTGAAACTCTGGGTTAGGATCATTAGGTAGTCACTTGACCTAAGTGCATGCCTAGGCCCTGTTCATCGTCCTCTGCCCTCTAGCTTCCCTTTTCCTCAGATCTGGAAAAATGTCCTGCCCACTTATCTTTCTCACCTTTGATATTGGGTTGTATGTTTCAAGTCTGGGAAGCCACACAGGTAGGTAGGGCAAGAAGCAATGTGATCGAGGTTGGTAGAACAATGCAGTAAATGTTGCTGTGGTTGCTCAAAGGAAAACATGAGAGAATCCAGGCCTGAACAGTCCTGGGGCTCAAGCCACATCCCTACTAGGCTCTGGGCAGGGCCTCATCCCAAGCCACGATTTCTCTAGCTGTGCAGTGTCAAGCTTCTCTAAGGGTAGAGCTGCTCAAGTGGGTCAAGTAAACAACCCAAAGGAGGGGGCCAAGCTTGAGCTGTGGCTGGCAGAGTGTTCACTTAGCATATATGCAGCCCTGGGTTCCAGCCCCAGAACATCATAAACCAGAAGTGGAAGTACAGGTCTGGAATGCCGCACTTGAGGCAGGAGGATCATAAATAAACTCAAAGTCATCCTGGACTACACAACAAGTTCAAAGACATCTTGGGTACTTGAAAATCCTTTGGGAGGGAGGGAGAGAGGGAGGGAGGGAAGGTCTTATTGTCTACCTTGCCAAAGAGTCCACCACATTTCCAAATGGGCTCAGATGTGGCCCTGGGGACCCAGCAGCCACCACCAGGCCTCTCCACCCCAGATCCACCCCAGATTACTGGTTCATGCAGAGTTTAGGCAATGGCTCAGAACCACTTCTTTTCGCAACAACTACTACCATGTCCCCAGTCAGCTTTTGTCCATGGACTTGGCAGGTGGCATTGAAAAATACAACAAACACTGTCACTCCAAGGAACTTGGAACAAAAAAGGGAGCTTTAAATATGTATGGGGCAATGACGAGTACACAACACTAAGCCAAAGCAAAGAAAATAAAAGTGCCATTGGTGTTACCAAGCTAAAGGGCAGTAGGGCCATAATGGGATTCTTGTGTGTGGCCAGTGAAGGAGCAAACCACAATGGATGGCCTCCACTGAGCTCACAGACACTTAGGTGAGTTCCTTAAATGGGGATATCACTTTGGTTTTATTTCCTCCTTCCTTATTACAGCCCCAGGCCAAAGAGCTACAGTGGGGGGGGGGGGGGCACAGTGTGCTTAGGTGTCACAGGTGCCTCAGAGAAGCATGTGTATGCAGCTATATGGCTGTAAATGTAAGGGACGTGTGTGTGTGTGTGTGTGTGTGTGTGTGTGTGTGTGTTCATGTGTGTGTGTTCATGTGTGTTGACATGCAGTAACCCACAGCAGATAATACAAGCCTGTCTTGGTGGATGTAGTTAGACATGCATGTGCTTTCCACTGCCTTGAAGGCCACCT